TATTTTGTATATTAATAATGATACTATAAAGAAATGTAATCGAACGGAAGGTACTAAGTTGTTACTTTATACTATTTTTTTTATGTTTCAAGAATTGCTGGGCGAAAATGATTGAAAACATAATTATATCCTGCTTGTTAATGTACGTAGATAAATTCCTCGGCAGGATGTTCTAATAAGGAGCTGCGGTTTTGGAGTACTAAACAGTAGGCACAGTTAACCACGGGGTCGGTTGTAAAAGTACTATATTTCTGGTCCAAATATACTGATTAATTCAAACCCTTACTGGCAATAAACTAATAAGATTATAATTATAAGTTTCGCAACAGGATGTATTTTTCTTCATCCCTATTTATTATAAACGTTAAAATTGGGGTGAAAAGAAAGCGTCGCACATCCACGTTCCGCGCAACCTTGACCTTACAACCCACGGATGCCTCCCGTATCCAACGCATACACACACACACAAAGGGTCCAAACGTCAAAACGCTAGTGCGTTTCGGACCTGGGTCGGTTTACCGAAACCGGTTTGACGTCCCTGAATCATAAAACTACGAAAAAGGCCTCGCGAGCATCTCTGAGGGTCTATTTATTATTCTCCTGGTCACAGACTACTATACGATATAGAACGAATGTTTGACAGTTCCAAATTTTAGACAGCCGCGGGCGTCGCTTAACGTTTGTAATATTTTAATTAATTAATATTATTACATTTATTTTGGGTTTTATACTATTTTGATCTATCCATAAGTCGGAAGACTTCCCGAATAGCTTCTGATTCTTCCTCTTAATGCTCTAAAAAGAAAAAATATAGGAAAAAATTATTTTGCGTTTCCAAAAACCATTTAGTGTAATATGTATTTATGTTTTTATAGGGTTGTATTTGAAATAATAAAATTAAAAATTTTAACTAGATATTTTTTTAACTATTCACGTTTTTTTCATAGTTAACGATTGGGAAAGAGCTTGGAAAAGATTTATTATATCAAAGTGTTGATAAGTCATGCATTCTGCAAAAAACATTTGGAAGAAAAGTGCCCGAACCTTTGACTATTTTTATTTACTACAAAAAAAATATATATAAGTATATATAAGTATTACATTTTTAATAAAATCCCCAATGTAACTATTTTCTTCTTTGTATAACTTAAACTTTTTTTTATTATTAAATTTAGCAGTGAGATATTTTGTTAAGAATTATTATATAATATAATGTGTCCACTACATCACCACTAGTATTATATCTCAATTGTTTTAGTGTATATAGTATTTAGTGTATATATAGTGTATTTGGCCTAACAAAACAACATAGATCAGTCGACTATCAAAATCATAATATATTATGGAGGGTAGCATAATGGTGGAAATACCGTTGAGAAATTTGGCAACATAGAATCCTTCCTTCCTGTTTCCTTTTTATTAATTAATTAGAAATTTTTAGGGAATAGATAGGTATCTAAAAAGCTGCCTGCGGAATAAAATTTTTGAAAAATAGCTACACAAAATTGTTACTAACCCACATTCGAACAGCGTATACCATCGTCGTCGTCGGCCTTGGTCGGGTTTTCCTCCGCCATACCGTCGGGACAACAATAAATTATAGAGATTTACTCACGCGTGTGAATCTCGTTTATTTTTCAATTAAAAGTCGACGCGACAAAAGCGAAACATGATGTCAACGCTTCTGTGAGATTTCGATAAAAATAACAATTACAACGAGCGAACGCAAATATTTAAAAATACGTTGGTTCATTTAGGTACCGGCTCGACAGACATCGTCCAAAATCAAAACAAACGTTTTCGATCGAACGGTCGACGTTAGACAGACCAAACAAAACACACCGGTTGAAAATTTCGTCAGAAATTAGCGGCTTTAGGGTAATACGGCACAATTTGGCAACTACGCGCGACCAATTCCTATCGCAAAAAAGTCTTTTAACAATTTTTCAAGTAGATAGAGCAAAATTTACTGACATGTTAAGGGCTCGATTTTTGTGAAACATTTTATGGTTAAAACCGCATGGCGATATCTTCACTACTAACCGAGATTAATTTTCATAACTTTTTTTTATTTATTAACATTTTGGATTCGGATAAAAACATAATTAATTAAGGCCTACTTAGATTTTTTTCTACAGTTCCGTTTTTTCGTAAATGAATACAACTTTCCTATTTTTTGTCAATCATAGTTGGCTATGTTCTTAATTAAATGCCTTTTCAGCCATATAGATATTTGTTGGTATCTGTGGTGAAAAAAAGGGAGAATATAGGGTATTTTTTGTTTATGTAGGCCGTGTATAATATGTTCAAAAAGACGTCACAGAAACCTTTAAAATAATATAATAAACAGTGAAACTTTAAAAAAGACTACTGTCCAATTTAAAATAATTTAAGTGACAAACACAAATCCTAAGAACAATTTAATATTTTAATTTGAATTTTAGATATTATTTTTAATATTTTTGATTATTTAGAAAACAAAATTATAATTATTTTAACCTAATAATCAAAACACAATAAATATTATAATACAAAATATTAAATATTTTAAGAATTAATGTTCGAATTTGCCAACTATTTACTAACTATAGGATTTATGGAAGCAAACGCTTCTCGAGTCGCTTCCTCTATCTCTGCGTTGGTTTGGAAAATTCTATATTTAAATGCAAGATTTTTTTATCTTTCCCATAAAAAAAAATCTAAACGAATTAGATCATACATACAATTATCTCGCAGGTCACTCATGGGCCCTCAATTCCAATCAACAACTCTTCACTTAAAAGACAGAATGGGGGGCCTCAGTTCCAATCAACAACTCTTCACTTAAAAGTTTAGTTATAATCCGTGCGTTGTGAGCGGTTCAACCATATTGCTGGTAATAAAAATATGGATAATTTTACATTACTTTTTTTACTCATATCCATGTAAAAATTATCAATCAATCGTAGGATATCGGGTATTTTTCTGCCTATTCTGCCTGCTAAGTTAAACATATTATATAGTTAATTAATATATAGTTATAATAAAAGTTGACATGACATGAGTAAGATGTTTTTAATAAACAAACACTAAAACTCTCAAAAAAAATTATCAATAATTATCAAACACTTAACAGTCAAAATGAATGTGTTAAATAAAGAACGCAACATCATAAGCTAAAAAGAATTTCCAAATTAATTGTTTTTCTTATGACATTGTGTTTCTTTTTCCGCACATGACAACGCGATAGCCATATCGCATGAGAAGTTGGTATTGTTATAAAATATTCCTACTGTAATAATTCTTAACAAAAAGGCATATATGTCATAGAAGACAAAAGACACTTTACGTATATGAATTATGTCCAAATATTCCAAACACTTAGGAGATTGCACGTAACTTATGTTTGGCTTAATGGTGTAATTACATTATTATAAGACTATGTTAACATTATTATGATTACATATTTAATGTAATGATCCACTAATAATTGCCTTCTAAATGTGGAATATTTCAGTCAAGATGCACTAAATAATGAAAATAAATTCGCAATTTTCCAAACTTTTTATTACGAAAACACGTCCATTTGAAACTACCAACTGGGAATATGGGAAACCATTATGACAATATCAATTATCAATATCTTCGAATATCCTGTAGAAAAAGGTCACCACGGAAAACATCATTACCTTCGTTTTCTGTATATGCGACAAACGACCAAGGCCCGCCGCTGGCTAATTATTGTGGATATGAAGCGGTTTGCAGTAACTAACAAGGTTATGACGTCTAACGGGCCATCAAATTAAAACATAGTCTATATAAAATATGTGTAATGTGAGAAGTCGGACATCGGATTTAATCCGTACAAAAACAAAAATGCAATACCAAAAAGCCGATGGGTAGCTTAATGAAAATTGAAACTTTTGCTTCATTGTTTATTGTCTGTTGCCTATTTTTAGCTTGCAAAAAGACCAATTAATTTTTTCAAAAATGTAGGTATACCATTAAAAAGTGAAATTTTAACCGCGCACAAAGTTGTGATACTCGTTTTTACCTATTTGACCAGTTTCCCGAAATATATTTCCTACAAACAGGGCTACTTAGATACAGACCTGTACTTCAGTCAAACAGCAATACAAAACACAAAAAAATGTTGAAAAATACAGAAAAGGATATTTTACAAGTATCGATAGCCAGAAACAGTGCACAGTGTCTATACTTAATGGTGGACCAAAGAAGACGTGCAACAAATTTAAGAAACACTTAAAAAGCAGAGATTAAAATTTCTTCTATAAACACAATGTAAATATTCATTGCCGTGATATACCTACAAAAAATTTAGTCAGTTTTTTTTTTATTTCTTTTTTTTTTCTCCTTTTTTCATACTAGGCTTTGGTGCTGGTATTTGTACTGATTTCAGGTATGGAATAAAACAGTAAAAAAAAGATATCCTTTTCAAAAAGCGAATTGATAATTTTCCAGTGTATTTAGGAAATACAATAATTTGGTATAGTTAAAGGTTGAAAAGTTTTCGCTGCTTTTAGCGCACCAACAAAATGTCCATTAATATCCATAAAATATCCATTACGTATTAGTTAATTTTTAATATATACCATGGAGCAGCAATTTCTTTTTCAATATTTCGTGTGTTGATGACAAATAAAGTTTAATCAGACACAATTGAGTTCGTCCTATCTAGCGGCGCCGTCAAATAATAAAATTATCGACATAACCTTATCGGCCGTACCGTTGAACGCGCTTATCTTAATTAGAGTTTTAACTACACATTCTTTGATTTCTTTGGATTACCGCGGGATTAGCGAAATAAAGCATCCGGTAAGTACTGATAATTCGATAAGATACAATCGGGTCGAGTATTGATGTATCGATACTACACTGTAGTGCGGAATTCGCAAATGCTAGGCACTTTAAATAAAAAAGTAAATTCTCGCGAAAGTACCTTAAAGTCTAGCAAACGAGCTTGTACGACCTAGCCGATTGGACCGAACCTAGAAACCTACCTTTCTGTAAAGCTTGACCCAAGTGAGGTCACCTTTCGAGTCCGTATACTGCAGACCGAAGAACCAGACCTCCCTGAGGCCGATCGTTTTGACGACCTGATCGAAGAGCTGTTTCCCGGACGTCGACTGCTGGATCGCGAATTCCAGCTCCGCGTCCATAGTCGTCACCCGTACGTTCATCTGCAACCAAAAACATTCGAACTTGCCTCAAGAGATCATTAATCTGTCGATCGTTTTAAGTCGTCTATCACATCAGTACATAAATCAATTTCTATGATTATGCAACTGAAAGTCGATTTTCATAAGATAACGGCAACATTGTCGCTCAACATCCGGTTAGAAAACCATTCACAATCTGCATATTCCCATGGATGAGTCACAAAATAGTTGAATATGTTAAATACGTGTTAAATCCTTTCGCTAATTTTAATTAATTTAAACGAGCAAAACAAATTTACTTCCTCTCTATTTTATTATATATAAATTCCAAAAATGCAAAATTTTAAAAACTCGCAACATAAATCGCTTAAATCGCTCTCCACGAATCATCATGATTAGTCTTTATGGTTAAATATTTGTAAGTTTTAAAGGCTACAAATACTTGGATATTTTTCTGCAATTTAAAAAAAACTTTTTTCTCTGCATGCTTATGGTGAATTTCATGTCCTGTCGGACAATTAAACCCAATTTCGTTCAAGGTTGCGGTTTTATAACGGTCTTTAAATAACTAAAGGTGCACTTTTCCAACAAAACATAATTATGGCGACAGGCGTCATTAACAAAGTAAAACTCTCGGAATCATCATGCGAGGCAGTTTGCGGCAACAAGCGTCAAAATCGAGAACCGCTGCAGTCGATGTAACGGTAACTGAAGCCCTTACCATTTTGCTGGAAGATACCATCTTGTTTTCCCGAAGCGATCGGCAAACAACAAAATATCAAATCAACACGAGTCGCGGTCGCGCCACAAAATTAACCGCAACAGTTTTTCGAAAGATTTTCCGCACCGCAAAAACAAATTCACTTTTATTCTCGCAATAAACGCCCTTACGCTGAGCTCGCGGTGATTCGAACTTTGAAATTAAACGAAACAATCGACTCGCAAGCCGGCAAACATCTACCCAAGTCCGGCCAATGGTAACACGCCATTCAAAATTCCGAACCACAGAATAGCAACGAACACTCGCGGCGTTCGTCGACGTTGCCGGGTTCCCGAAACAGTCCCACGCCTAGCGAAATCGAAAATTCGGCTTGAGAGCTGCATTTTCGGTTACGTCCTATTTTTTATTTCCGCACGATGCTGGGCAATAACACATTTACGTCTTTTATAAATCCATTCCATATGACTGAAGCAGCCGATAACGTGAGACAATTATCTGCGCAAAGGCGACCCGGCAACGCCGCAAATACGTTCGTCCTTTCCCATGGCCCATGACCCGTAAAAACGATAGGTCTGATCACCTGTCGGTGGGTTTCGCGGTTGTATCAATTCAACAGGTGATGTAAAAATAGATCATGACGTCGGTTCAAGTCCATATTTACGTGTTTTTCATCGCATTTTTGGTCGTGACTCATCTGGTGTCTTCGGCGAAATAAGAAGCAACGCCTACGGTGGCTGAACGTGGCTGACAACTTCTGGCACATCACTTGAGTATATACTTTGGAAACGTTCAAAACACAGACCAGAGAGATGTTAGCGCAAACCGTGAAATGATGTTCTACCGTCTCAATGTCAAGGTCATTATCGATTTATTTTTTCCGTTGTAGGCGTCAAGACGTCACCAAATTTCAGCTTTTAATTGATGATAAACGGTTGGTATTACGACCGCAGTGTGAAACGATAGAACCTCTTAAGATACCGATAGGATTTAATCCCGAAGAGAGAAATATCCAAGATAAAAATATTTTGAAATCCTTTTATATTGATCGACGTGTCACATTCGGAAGCGACACATAATTCCAATTTTCTTGTAGCCGAGAACTGTGTAAATCGATTGAAAATAGACTCGTTAGATAATTTTTTACCGATGAAGTATGAAAACTCGTTGGTAAGGTGTATGTAGGTCAGTGCGTTTCTCGTAAATCTTAATTGATAGGTCCAAGGCTCCGTGACCAATTACCGTAATTTGTCGTATCAAATAAAGGGGGGTTTTATTTTCCATGTTTGTTCTAAATTGACCGTCATGGTAGTTCGGTATTATTTAATCCGGCCATCTGGGAGACGCAAATCTCTGTGTCGGTCCGACATCGAGTTGACAAAAGTTGCCCACGCAGCCGGCGATAAATATAGAAAGTTATTGTGAAAGCGGGATGTGTTATAATACGCGATTTATCTGGTAATTCGAGTATTTACGGAGATAATAATGCTTCCTAGTTTTCGCCGGGGTTCATTGCGATAATTTTATGCAAGTTTGGTCGATTTTTTACATGTAGATTTTTTTTGCCGCTTGATTGACATTAAACGGGAGAAAGTGACGCCCGATTTTGTCGGTTAACTGGCCGTCTCTAAAATAATATGGACAGACCAATATTGCACACTAAGGGGATCGTTGACCTCCGGCGTCGAAGACATTTTTTTAAGCGCAAAGCTACGATCTGTGTAAGTGGCTTACTTACATCCGACATTCCGAATACGAACATTTAAATAGTGAAGGTGAGGAGGTCTCGGGGAAAATCTTCAGAAACAGTTTTTTTCCGTGCCCACAAATATTCACGTCCGCGGAATAGCAAGCAGGTTTCTCTTCGGAGAACGTAACCCTGGTTTTTCCTTCCCCAATTAAACAGTTTCTCGGTGAACTCATGAAGTCATTCGACATGCGCATGACCTTGCGACATTCAACAACCAATATGGCCGCTGACGTCTATAAGTTTAGATGCGACATTTTTACGGCAGTATTTTCTCAAAATACCCCCCGTTGAATGTTTTAGGAAAACGAGTTAAGTGTATGTAAATCGCTGTTGAGAAAGAAATTCAATTTTTAGCCTAGTAAGGCTACTATATTATCTCAGCTATTTGACAATGATTTTTGACAGACCGCCATGTTCGTTTTAACTGCTACACCGCTTACCTTTCTCGTCGTCTTGGATTCGTTCGCACCACCGATTTTGTACTTTGCCCTCAACATACTTTGCTCGCACGACTCGCTACATATTTTGGCGAAAACTCTTATATACGCTTTTTTTTTTAAATCGGATTCAAACGAAACTACGCGTGCTTTGTTGATAGCGCGTGTTTGTCTAGGCAATATTTCTTGCGTAATCTGTTGGAATAATAAAGCCCCATGTTTGCTTTTCGTTTATTTATTATCAAACATCCCTGTATTAATCCCGTGGTCTAAATACGCGACCCAACTGCATATCGCGCAAGAATGTCAAGAATGTTGCGATAAGAATACCGCAAAGTGGTTTTAGCACTGCCTACTTGTGGCACTTATCGTCCGTGAACAGCGATCAAAACATACAACAAGCTGGTCAACTTTCACCTCGCACAACATCCATTCATTCAACAGGTGTTAGGAAGACATTTTCCTTCCTAAGCGGCCGTGTTAATTCTTACACTTATACCGAAAACGACAAAATTAACCGGGTCGGACTTACCTGTTTAGGCATCTCGGCTGTATAAAATAACCTCTACCTGAAAAGAAAAAAGAAAACCTTTAAGCTTACGCAAAGGTACATTTTATTTAAAGACTGCGTTAACCTTTTTACAAAAAAGTAAAATGTACTTCAGCCGCGCGATAGCTAGAAAAGCGGCGAGCGAAACAGGTTTTTCGTATTAGTGTTGACAAATTAAATATTACCGACATTTAACAGTAAAGTTATTAGCACATCTCGGATCTCCAATGTAAATTTTAGTCTAAGAACCCAAAATCGGTAGGAATACATTACGTGACGTAATCTAACTACGTACCATTTGCCTTTTTGAAAAACAAGCGCGGTGGGGAGGGGGTAATTTTACAACCCCAACAATTTTTAGGCATGAAAAATTTTGCTTTCAATTATTAACGCACAGGTCATTTACACTTCGAAACGAACGCGTTGTTACGTGCAGAAAATGTTGATATTTCAACGAGCTGCTCAAATTGCAAAGGTAGGCCATGAAAGACTGCCACCGGTAGTTGTTTAATGGCAATGGCGCTAAACTGGACAACAATCGCCACATGACGATGTACAAACGATACTTACTTGGAAAAAAACAATAAATCAAGGGGTGAAATACGTTCCGCACCACAACATCAATCGGGCACGCGTGATTTTATCGGGCACACACCCTTCGCGCACTAGAAAACAATTTAACGTGACAAAATTGTCAAGAATCAGCAAATTAACTAAGCCGTAGTTGAAATTGCCAACACCAGAGCCGAAATCTCGTTCGGACTTCGCACACGGTGCCATCTGGTGAGCACGTTGGGAACTTGTGTATTTTATTAAATGTGTTTCTTTGCGTATTAATTTATTACCATATTATACGTTATAATGCTCGAAAATTAAGGATGCAATTAAAACAGAAAAAAATAACCTGTTCGCGCCATCCATCAACAAAATTATTTGATACCGATTTTTTTTCCGTGTTAAACGCAATCTAAACTTACCCATACATATGGTATGGTAATGTCGATTATTTTTTGTCCAAAAGCAAAAATGTAGAAAGTATTTGTTTTTGTTAAATATTTGGAAACAAAACTATGATTAAGTGCTGCACTTCCAGCATGGATTTTAGGGCAGTTTTTATCATTTCTGGAATATTTTTTAAATTGTGATTTCTTATTTAAAAGATGGTAGGAAATAAGAGACTGGGACATTTTGTTACCAACTTTTAATAACAATTTCGTACAAAATTCGTTTAAATATACACAAAATCACAGCAATAATGCTTTTAATATACTTTCAATGCAATATTTACAAAACAATAAGATAACCTAAAAATAAATATAGAGAAAAATTACGACTGATGCCCTGATTGCAATAGGTGCCTCCTCAAGGAACTTTTGTCGGTAAAAGGCTTGTCGCACTCCCTGCACTTAAATGTTTTACCAGTATGGGTGACGAGGTGACGACTTAACCCAGAGGCGTGGCAGAAAACCTTCGGACATAAGCTGCAATAGTGCAATTGAATATCCGATGGGCTATTTCCCATATGTGTTTTCATATGCACCCGTAACTGCTCTTTTTGACTAAAACCCTTCGGGCAGTGCGGACAAGCATATGGACGCTGTCCAGTATGGGTCATCAAGTGGCGAAACAATATTTCCTTCTGAGCGAAACTCTTGGTGCAAACTTCACACTGAAAAGGTCGCTCACCAGTGTGAATTCGTTCGTGACGTATTAAAGCGGATCGTGTAGGGAACCATTTTTCGCATATGCCACAGCTGAAGCCTTTCTGTTGCATGTGAACCGAAGCGTGACGTCTCAACTGAATCCTTCGCGAGAACGATTTGGGACAGTCGGGACATTTAAATATCTTCAATTCTCCGTCCTCGCTGACATCTTCGGTCGGCATTGGCGGTTCCGGAGTTTCGGTTTGATCTTCCGTCAAGATTTCCATAACAATGACGTCCCCGTCTTCCGTGGTAACTTCCACCTGGGTGGATTTGCCATTGGGCTGGTTTACAGTGAGTTGGAGCTGACCGCTTAAGTTGAGTCCTGCAAATAAGTAATTTGTTGGTTCCAAAACATCATATTTATAGAGTGTGTCCACTGTACACCCTTGTAAAATCTGTGTTTATGGTTCGATTTTGATTTTTTTTTTGTTGGATAGGTCTCTGAAAGATGCACTAAAACCTTGTTTTGCTTATTGCTTCAACTTAAAGTCATGACTCACTGAGACGATTTAACAAAAGCGAGATTAAAAAAAAGTAAATTGGATACGAATTCTTATTCGGGCTTACTTAGAACCCAACTAAACCAATTTTTATAATGTTTTAATACAGGGAGTTTATATCCCACTTAAGGGTGTACATCGTTGTAAAATCTTTGATTACGGTTTGATTTTGATAATTTTTTTGTTGTTCAATAGATCCCTCTAAGTATACTAATTTCAGTGAAGTTGTTTATGGCTCAATTTTGATAATTCTTTTTTTTTGTTAGATATATTTCACTGAGAGAACGATTAGATATGAACTAAACAGACTTTACAAGGCCGTATTTTTTTAATTAAACAGGATTTTTAATTCTCATCTAATAATGAAAATAACAGAAATATCAAAATCGATTGACGTCCGCATACTGTTTCCTTTGTAAAACCAAGTTTGGCATGGAGAAGCTAATATTCGACTGTCAAATTCACTCGCCAATTTATATTTTAATTTTGTTTACATTATATCTTTCGAATACTCAGACTTACTAATACTGTTGTTTTAAGATGATACTAAAAAAATAAGTGTCCCTTAAAAAATCTTTTTTATCATTATTTTTAAAATTTGTATAATTAAAATTTATAATATATTAAAATCACACATAAAATAGTCGCTATTTAAAAGGTTTGGAATATCTATTTTTTTAAAACAATAAAAACTTTGGTCATTGGTCTAGTTACTTTTAGGCAGTCCCTGAATAAGGATCTGTTGTCATTTTCAATATGAAAAAATCTCTATAAGTACTTCTTGATTTTCCGCTTCAGAAAACTGTGTCAGTTTGCCATGACTTTAGTCAATGCTATATGAAGAAAACGTTTCAGTTCTCTTTATCTATCTAGCAGAAAAGAATTATCAAAATTGAGCCATAAACAAACATTCTACAGGAGTAATGCTTAAGCAACTTCGTGGAAAATAGTATAGTTAGGTTTTATATAATTCTGAATAAGAATTCGTTGATTGGTCCCAGTGAGAAGTGACTTTAGGTAAATCTATCCAACAAATAAATGTTATGAAAATGAGACCAGGATCATAGATTTTACAAAGATGTGCAGCCTTAATCGGGACGTAAATACCTTGTATTGAAACACTACAGAAATGGATACAGTTGAGTTGTAAGTACTCTTGAATAAGAATTCATTGCCAATTCATTTTTTTGAAAATTCCTAATAGTATTTATTTTTTATCTCACATCTCTCTTTTGTTAAATAGTCTCAGTTGGCCATGACTTTAAGTTGAAGCAATAAGCAAAACAAGGTTTTAGTGAATTTTTCAGAGATCTACCCAACAAAAAAATCATCAAAATCGACCCATAAACAAAGATTTCACAAGGGTGTACAGTTCTCAAGTGGGACACACTGTATAAGAAGCGAGGTTGCTTTTTGGACCTCATTAATGAGCCGAGAACATTTTAAACAATCAGATCAAATACTGCTTAGAAGAATATAAATAGTACTGTTAATTTTTAGCCAATTACCAAAGAAGAAATAGTAAAAGCTTCAAGGGCCTGATTTTTCTAAACCATTGCTTGTTATACTTAATCTAGCGTTTTCTTCTGCAGCTTATCCGTAAGAATTCGCATAAGCAATTATAGATCAATTACAATCTTATGTAATTTTTCATAACATAACATAAAAATCACACCTGGTTGGGAAGCTAAAGTGGCCTTCACAGCTCCAGCGATGGCGTCAATGCTAGCATCATCCATGCTCGGATCGGGTTCTTCAATAATAAATACATTGCCCTCAGGCTCATCTTCTTCAGAAGCAATTTCTGTTTTCAATTCACTGCCTTTTAATGTGCACGCATCTTTATTTTCTAAATCAACTTCTGATGACAGAGTTATACTGTTTGGAATATCTTCAGGTTCTGGATCACGTTGAATGTAAGTAACTTTAGTAATCCCTGAAAAAAAACATCTTCAAACATGTTAAAATGAATAGAAATTGCAGTTTTACCTAGTAAATCTTCTTCCGTGCTAACCGCCAAGTCCTTATCCTGGTTTGAAGAGCTCTCACCCACTTCTTTGCTTTGATCAATTTCCATTTCATTTTCTTGTGTTTCATTATCGCCCGACACGATATTCACTGTTTCTATGTGACCAAATTTTTCTCTCAGTTCTCTAAGGTGCTGCCTCAGTTTCATATCCGATTGTTCACATTTCTTTCGAAAATGGTATGATTTTTCGAGTTGAAATTTACACGGGTGACAAATTTTTTCCGGCAATCCGTCCCCTTCAAAAACCTGAAGAATCAAAAACCGCCTTACAAACGGCTTCCCTACAAAAACATACAACCAATACCTCGAGCGCAACACAAGCCATAATTTTAAGTGTGAGAGGTACAAGCTCGTCGTTATTATAAATCGAAATCAATTCCTCTTCCTTTCCCATGCATAATCGGCAAAGTTCTTCCACATCTGCAATGACTTCTTGACCCAGCTCGCCAGACTTTTTCCGACTGTAAGTTTTCATCTCGAGGATAAATTAGAAAACTATTTTATTACCGACGCTCGCTACTTTACCTTGCGTTTTGCAAAATGGCGTCCTTGTCGCAGCATTGGTGACGCAACTGTGCGACACAGCGCAGGTTCCTCTTTTATCGATCCAAACCCGTAAGAGTTCCTTAATATTGAAAATACCATATTTTTTTAATAATTGCGTGTTTTCGAAACGTGTCAACTTTTAGCCAAACTTTACGTTGCGAAGGAAATTCTGGTGGAATGGCGGAAATGACTTTTTTGAGGAACAGAAACAAACACTCGCCAATAGGTGGCAACTGTGTTGTGGAATGGTCGTTCTCGCTGCTGTTAACGGACTTTCTCTGCGCGTGGCGTGTGAAATAAGCCGCATTTTTAGTTAAAATGTTTGTGATTCGAGTATAGCGTCGGAATAAAACTAAATACATTTTTAAATTGTAATTAAGTGGATTGGATCTTGTCGAGTGGGTGCGATTCTCGTTTTTTCGCAAATACGTAAACTTTGGAATATATCATGCTTCGCTTATTTTTAGAAACGTTTCTATGAATATACCTACCCACCCGTTGCTTGTTATGCTGCTAGGGCAACAAAATTTTGGCAAAGTGTTCCAAAATCTCTCCAAAATTAACGAAAGCAAAAATGCTAGAGCGCGTTGAAACGCGCCTCCAATCAAAATCCCAAACGGAAATTCAAATCGAAATGCCGAATAGTCGAGAAAACGAACATGTTAGCAGGGCCTTAAAATATGTGATCCACCTGCCCCTATTCTTTGCGGGAACGCGAGTACTGCATACGGGGCGGAGATATTCCTTGGAATTTTCGAATGTTAGAATGGCCGTATATATGTCCGGCCGTACTACGTCGCGACGACGCCCACGACGCTTCGGCAGTCGGTGGTTCGCGACGCGGAGCGTATCAGTATATCCCAGCGATCGCGAGAAAGGCGGCGTCGAACGCACAGGTAAAAAAAAGCTTCCAGCAGCTATACCGCGATGTGCGCTTTGATTTCGCGGCGGAAACACGATACCACAGCATGAGTCACCTATCCGTGGTCGCACGTTGACGTTTTGTGCTTTTTTTGTTCGTAGGCGGCTAATAATCTGCAAACGGCTACGTTTAGGGCGTCTGTCCCCTCCCACCCACCGATGCATCAAGCACAAGAGTTTAAGATAATGCGTGATTTTGTGCTTTTGTGCACTGTTACTTGAAGTTTTACCACGATTTATTACATTACCTAACTACTTTAACAACAACTACTACTACTTTTAAAGTGGAGTAAAATACCATATTTATCAATATTTTTACACAATTATTCCCCAAAATTATTGACAAAATAACTTAAAAGAGTAATTTGTTTTAGAATGTAAAAGTACTTTATAAAACATTTAGTGTTGGTATTTCTCAGAGTTTCCATTAAACCTATATCGCTTTGCATAACACTTGAGAGAAACGTTTTAAAAGATCATACTAATTTGTTCATGTCTACATAATAGTTTTGGAGATTAAATATCTTGCATAGCCTACTAGCCTAAGGTGATCATTAACTCTTTTATGGCATCATTAACGATATGTTTATGGCCCGTAGTTAAGAATGCACGCTGCTCCAGGTGCGCAACAATCGAAACAAATTCGCTGAATCAGGTTACAGTCTGCGTATAAAGAAATGCGCGAGCTCTTTTAAAAATACACACGGGATCTATTAAAAAATATTTTTTAAATGTTTTTTTTTGTTGATTTACGTTGTTTATGTTCTCGGCGCGGCCATTTGAGCGAGTGCCAGTTGGTAGTAATGCGATACGGATAGGTTCGAAAAAAATCTCGAAAAGTGTGCGGAAGTTTCCGCAGACAGACGTGTCAAATATTGAGTAAATTGCGTGGGACAAGTCTGCTTCGTGCAATTACCAACCAAAACTTGCAATGCCCGGATAAATCTGGATTTATCTAAGCACAGAACAATGAAACAACGAGATAACCAACTGGTAAACAGTGCTTTACTGGTTGTATTCGTGTTCACTGACGTATCAGGGCTGACTTTAATTGAATTGGGACTTTGCAGCATCCATTTATTTTTTATTTGTTATAAAAATGTAAAATGTGGAAAAGATTAACGCGAAAATGAGAATAAAAAATCAGGGTCGCCTGCGAGTTCTTGACATTTGGCGGCATTTAGACATTTTACATATCGTTGAAAATCTGTAACAGATGTTTCGCACAGATTTGTATCCGAAACAGATTGAAGATTATTTTAGGTACGGCGAAGTTTAAGTTTCAAAGTAGTTTTGCAGCCAAGTGTTTCGCGTGTAATGCTAATTTAATTTTTGGAAAACGTATGGATGCGATGTTTTTGGCAAGACAAATTCGAGAAAACAAAGCCAATGTGTAACCCCCACTTTGCAGCCTTTAAAAATAATAATACATATTTTTATGTATCGATTTGCGAAATGTGTAATTTTTTTTATAAACAAGGGCGTTCTCCAATATGATGCGCTTTTTAAAGTAGAGATTCAAATAGACATCAACAGAAAAATGCATTTGCGGGAAGTGTTTTTTTCAAAATGTTAATAAATAATAAGAAGTAGTTACTATTATTTCCATAAAATCCTTGCTGTTTATATACAACAGCCAAAGATCTTTTCCTTTTAACTATTCGCGTCTTGTCTAGGGCGTTCTAGAATTTTGATTTGATTTTTATTTGGGATGGCTATCGATTCTATGGGATGTGCATGAAATTTGATAACAGAGTGTCTCATAAGGGAAGGTTTAATAAAAAACAAGATATATATATACATTTTGGACTGCGACGAATCGGAATACATAAATGTTATAGGGATATTTTGATCAAAAATGACCTCCTCTATTACCTTTCTGAGTTTTTATCAGAGTTTATGAGACACTCTGTACAAGAGCCCAGAAAGATGCGTAGGTCCTAGAACCGTCTTTTTTCGTCCCAGGTAGCGTAGAATCGAAACAAAATAGAAAATGGCGAACCAACCACGACTGGTGAACAAGCAGTTCAATTCGCCGATCGGCTTGTACTCGGAACAGAGCATCAGAGATGTCATCGAACGAGAAAAACAGATCCTGGCCAACGGTGCCGTCGGGTAAGTGAGAAATAGCGACTCCATTCTTTTACAGGGCATCCCAATTTTAAGGACGTTAAGGGCGTTCGAAAGGAATGAAGTTTAAACAAAATTTACACCAAGAAGTGAAAATGAATCGTCGTTTAGGTGCCAGGCTATCAATTTTCGAATTATTTCACACAAAAATTGTTTCGCCTTTGCAAAATAAAAAAATTTGGGGGATTTTCAGCGTTTGGCCCACTCTATTTGCTACGTCATTGGATTTCACCTGTGTATGTGTAAAAAGTTTAAAACGCATGCAAAACTTTATTGCAACAATTTTATTTTTTCAGAATTTATTAAAGAAAATCCCTTTTTTCTTTAATTTTCAGCTGTACTTGAAAGTTTGGCCGCTGAGACGTCCTGTATAATAATAATTCTTGGAGATTTACGCGCGATTTCGTTTACACTGGCGCTGCTAAAAATACACTTTTCCTCGCAGAAAATAGCATACTTATACAAAGTATGGCGGTAACATTTATATTGACAAGTGCACTCTGTGGATCACCGAAAATTAAATTGGATACGGCATCGAAAAATAAACGGCTCTCGTTTCCGTCGACGCCCCGTATATAACGGGACAGGTTGGGAATTTTAATTAGTAACGGGAGGGTCCAAAATAAACACCGAGCCGCTTTGTTTTTGGAAATTATAAATAAATAGTCCGCGTGTCCGAATCGGTCCGATTGCGCAAAAGGTGACAAAAATAAACGCCATAAGAAGAAACGCTGCGCGTTTTTAAATTTACACGACTTCCCATTTCCGTTTGTGCGCGTGCTCGAAAGCGTACGTTAATTTTCCAACCGTGCCGAGCCAATCAGAGGGCAGTATCATCAATCTGAATTCACATTGGATATAATTGTACGAAAGCGCTCAACTTTTTGTTGAATTTCTAAAAAACTAGTTAAGATTTATGGAACATAAGTCGAAATTTTAGAGATAACTCGGAAATTCTGGAAAATTATTTGAAATTTCTTAAAAAAGTCATAATTTCTAGAAAATTGGCCGAAATTTCTGGGAAATAAGTCAAAATTTCTGGAAAACAAAACAAAATAATGGCGGACTACTAAATATTATGATTGTGGTCAAATGGTTTCGGGGGATACACAGCGTGCAAAGTTTAAATTTTATTTTGATATTTTTCATGATTTGAGAAATTGTTTATAGTATAATAATAAATATCCACTCCCTCCTAGAGGTCGCCGTATTATTGAGATAAATTGAATCATATTTTAACACGATGAAAGAATATTTAATTTTTCATAGAAGGGGTACTGGACCATCTAACTGGATTTTTGATTTATTTACATTTCAAAAGTTCAAGGCATGTTTTCTGCCAAACCCAATATTTCGCAAACTTCAAATAAAATTTTGTAAATTTATTTTATTTTCGTATCTTCATTTTAGAGACTTACCATTCTCCATCCCAAGTAACATAGAGTCGTCAGAATGACGTCATTAATTAGTCACCAAATGACAAAAATGACTTTATATATTACGTCAACAGGGCGCGAACTTGACCTACTAATGTTTCAGAAGAATGATGTGACTTAAGTGACGTCTTTTTAACGTAAAAAAAAATGTATCGATTTTTAAAATGGTTCTTTTTTTTTGGGGTAGGGAAAATCAAAAGTAAATTAAAGTATGTAATGTAAATTAAATTTCATGGAACGTCTGTTGCGGATGCGGAAACTGGAGAATTATAGTTATTGAATAAAGATGAGCTTTTTAAAAAAAATTAATAATGGAAGTATAATTTAAAGGATCTTCTATTTGATTTTCTAACGAAAATTATTATTTTTCATTTTGACTCACCCTCAATAAACTATTCGAACTAACTTCAACACTGTACCATTTTATAAAATTGTAGGCATAATAAAATTACTGCTGGCGGAAACGTCATCAAAAATATATGGTATTAAACACATTGGGTGTTTGGATATAAAAGGGAGTAGATTATACATTTTTCCACATTTATTAACCACCCTGTATATTAGGAAATAATTATAAATTGTTTCTCTTCTATAGTTTTTGCACTAACGAGTAGCGACTGCTTGTGACTCGAAAATGACGTCACTTTGACGGGCCTCTGCTACCTTGTGTAGCTAATGTTTCGTGTCGCACTATTGCTTCCGACAGACTCATTTTAGAAATTCTCAGAAAGACCCAAAAAATATCAAAGGCTGAACCAGAGACAATTGTTCGAAAACTAACGGCAGGAATTCCGAACCAAAGGATCGTTGAAGATTTATGAAAAATTGTAAATGATCAATTGTAGAGAAGGAACCTTCTTTCCTTCCACTGTTAGAAAATGAACATACGCTTCCACAGTCCGTCAAGCTTTTTACAATTTTCAAATTGCTCCTGTGCACAGACCAAGCTCAATATGCAGCCTCATTAATCTAACATAATAAAGAAGAAAAGCGACTGATTCTTTTTCGATTATCTTTTTTGGCTGTTACTTGAAGGTTTTTTTTTAAGCTTGAGACTGGAGACAGGGTTATCTAAGTAAAGCAATTTATTATTGGAACTGAAAACTACAAAAATACACTAGAAACCAAAAACGACGCTAATAGTTCGCCATGTTGTAGAACCACAGACTATTAAGTGGCTCCACCTATTGGCATACATTTGTATATCATTCATGCTTGTGATTTCATATGTTCAATAGTTCTGGAATAATAAGTTGTCATTAAAGAGTTAGGAATTTACACATTATATCATGCTGAACTTAAAAGCGTGCTTATAAATCTCATCATGTTAGTTTTGGTTAGTTAGTTAGTTGTGTACATTCTCATAAATTAATTTGTATAGCTCAAGAAAAATTTAATGATTCTTGGATACATTCAGTTTTATTAAACTGGGCAAAGTTTCTTCCAAAAATCCCGGGTTCTTTTAACCTTATTATTTCTTACGCAATAATTTTCAAATCGGATTGAGAGAAGATTTGCCGCTAAACATTCCAAACAAGCTCCAAACCAATGTGAAAGCAAACGGAATTGTGGTTTATATATTGTCCATTGAACAACCAATAAAAACAATAGGCGTTCTTAAACAAGCAACATGGCCACCGACAAGATGTCGTTAAAATGTTCTAGAAAATGGGTGAAGTGCGTGGATATCGGTGCTTGGAAAGAAACTGCCTCATCTCTTTGAAGATACGTCATCAATAAATCCTATTCTTTTCTATCTGTTTGGTATATTGCTAGACAAAATCATTCTTCCGAGATATCGTATGAGGTAACGAGAAATGGGCGCCAAAAAGCGTTCGAAAATAAACAGATGACAATAAGTAACCAAACAAAATGCCAGTTCGACAAAAAAAAGTATTTCTGGTTGGGTGATTCAGTCGCAACTCGAAAATAACTCGTCAATGGACAGATATTTGCCGATCGCAATTTGTTTTACGCTCAAAGTAGTAATTATTGCGACTCCGACTGGGACAGAGTTACCCGCGTTCCCAAACTATTTCGAACTCCATTTTAATTGTTATCCGATTTCGCGAGGTGTTCAAAGTATATCGGCATGAGTCCGATCACCAACGAAAGGTTATTTTCCTAAAACGACAATTTTGTTTATTTGTTTATTTATTTTTTGCCGTTTCAGGATTGATTTTCACAATCCGGCTGTCGGCAAACCGACCAACTTGCAGAACTCGGCCGTTCTGCGAATGCTGGAGGAGGAGGAACACAGACAGAAAAGCGGCCGAGCCGGTACGTCTTTTACTTTATCCGCGGTTACGTCATATACGCGTTGACGGTTAATTCTTGTTTGACGCGAAACTGAACTGTCAATTTTCACTTTGTCACGTCGGTCTTGAATCGTTTCGGACGTTAGTAGCGATTGATTTTGGGTAGAATATTTCCCATGATTTCCAGATCCAAAATTAACCTCGCTTTTCAATTGCCCTGTGATGATAATATCGCTTTTGCAGCGCCTATTCTACGGAAACGCCAAATATTTTGCCTGTAATGGGGCAAAAACAATTGAAAAAAAGAAATAAAATTAAGAATAGCAATAAGTATATTTACGTAACACGCCTCAATACTTGAATATTAATTATTAATATAATATAATATATTATAATATTACTTAGGAATCAATATTTTTTTTTGCAATCAATCAAATTGATCTCCAATTTGATAAGTAATTAGGTAACACCACATTGGTTTATGTGATTTGCTGACCAAATAAGCGTCGAGGGTAAACCATAATTTAAATATCTGTTATCGGTGATCAATCCTCGTGACAAATTGAAAAAAGCTGTCGTGCGACGCCCCGTACCTCAAATAAAAAAAATATTCGTAAAGTGAGGTTAGAATTGCCAAATTATCAGGTCATGACGATTACATTCCAAAACCGCTGCGAGACGTAGTGTGGCCACCGACAGAGCACGATCATACTAATCACCTTAGGTCTTCGTTTAGAGACGTGGTGACTCCAGGTAAAAAAAAGTAGAGGTCAAAATGCCGAGTGTGCGCATAAACATATACGTTTCATCACTAATTTTTTTTGCCACTACATATCTACGTATCGAATCATACGCGGGCTTTTCCGATACGCGTGAGCAGTGCAAAAAGTGTTACGTGCTAACGAGGTTGGGATACGGTTTTGGTGTGACTTCTTTGTAGACCCGTATACCTACGTCACCGGCGGTGCACCTGACACTGTAGGTATATGGGACGCGTTTATTTTTAGCCGTTGTTTTCGCCTTTTGGTTTTTTGACAAATGTGTTTTCCTTCGCCGACGTGGAATGCGGAAAGTCGCGCATTCTTCGTCTCCGTTTGATGCCGCAATTTTACTATTTCTGTTTGCGACATAAAAAAAAACACGACTCATTTTCCTTAGCGAAATATAAGTAGAAATAATTGTTGTAAAATGAAAACAACACTGTTTTCCATCATAATTTTTGTCTGTTTTGTTTTTTGACCCATTTTTTGCATGCTTTGGTTGTTTTTTTTTTGTTTTTTTGTAACGTCCGCTGACGCCAAAACCAAAGACGTAAATTTATATTTTTGATGGAGCGTTTTTGAAACGATCGACGCAGTACGGGATTTTTTTTTATTAAGTGTTGATTTGGGCTTGAAATTAAAATGACAGATGTCAAAATTGTCATTTTTTTCATATACGTTAAAAAATTCAATTCAAAAGAATCTAGAAAAAATTACATTTTTGTGTTCTACTTCATTTTTATGGCTTAAAAATTATTGATTGCTGTTTTTTTTATTCGGTAGAACTTATGAAAAAATCAACTTTTTCGTGTTTTCTCACTATCTCTGATAGGTAAAGGTTTGCATTTAAGTTGTGATTCTTATGATAAGCGACTAGTAAAAAATTCCAGTCTGGTAGATTTTACCTAAATGCCGCATAAAAAATGGGCAAGCTCTTTTAATGTTTTTGTAATTTTATGGAAGTTTTATTTCTTCGAAAATTTAAAACTTGTCACCGAATATATCTAATATTATATCTGATCGATTTGTTATATATTTATATTTATATGAAAACTATTATGCATTGGTATTATAGGTCTTCATCCAGATTTTAAACTCTCTTCCTAAAATTCAGCTTTGTTAATATCTAGTAGTAGTTAAATAAAAACTTTATTCATTTTTAAATTTTGCAATTGTCAAATACAAAAAATATAAATTTAAATGGTATTTTGGGCCCATAAAATATTTTATAATGATGATTGTCGTGAAAAAATTTAGCAGCACAGACACTGTGAATGTGTTCTTCTTGCTTGATCTATTTCTGCAACATTTAATGTTGTTCATTTCTAACCCGTTGAAAATAAAGTTTTCAGCTGTCATTTTGGTTTTAAAATATGAAAATATCGAAAATTACGGTCGACAATTCATAATCAAGACGACAATAATGGCAGATCTTTTTGAGGTCTGCAGCCTTCCTTTTGGTTTTAAAATAAGAAATTATCCATAAAAAAATCTGCTATTGCATTTTGAATAGAAGCAATTTTCGAGAAATCCCGTATAGTCGCTTTACAAACAACAATAAAATTTATGAGTCACCAGGCGAGAGCCAAACCGCTGACGGTGCCTTTGCGATTTTTTTGAAATTTCGCCAGCGACGCCCGTCATTCGGTACGGAGTTTATAAATACAAGGTGAAACTACAAATTAATATCACCTTTCGTCCGAATTTTTATTTCGAGCGACGGCTATTTTCGTCGTCGAAAAATAACCCGCCCAGATGACGTCGGCCGTATGTGATTAAATTCTTTCCCCTCCCTCTAGGAGTTAAACGAGTGGCGTGGCCGCCCCCACAAGAGGGTATTCTAGATCCCTTGGAAGCGCAAGCCGCCGCGCAGGCCGCTGGACAACCACAGGTAAGACCGAACCGATAGCCGATTAGTGGGGTGCACTAAAAAAGACATTTTTTTCAATTTTTTAATCGGATCAAAATTTACCGGTGATTTTTTTTCTGATTTTTTCCCGTAGGGTGGATATCAGTATCCCAACCAGTCTCCCAACTTCAACCAGAACCAGAATAACTACCCCGTTCAGCAGCAACCCTCCCAACCACCTTACCGGCCCCTCAAGCCCTTGGACGTGTCTTCCGTCGGTTCCGGATCGCCCCTGGCCTCTCCCCACGTAAACCAGAGCCCGCAAGGCTTCCGCCCCGCAACTCCCAGCAAGGGTTGGGCTCCCGTCCACTCACCCGCGTCCACTCCCCAATATCAGTCGCCGCAGCAGCAATTCGGCGCCCCTAATCAACGGTACCAGTCCCAACCCCAGTACCAACCCGTATCACAACCTTATCAGCAGCCCGGTCAGCAATATCAATCTCAACAGTACCAGGTCCAGCAAACCCAACAGTACCAGTCCACCCAGTACCAACAGGAGTACCAAACCCCTTCCCAACAGCAGTACCAGGTTTCCTCTCAGCACTACCAGACTTCTTCCCAACAGCAATACCAACCCCAATCCTTTGCTCAACCGCCTCAACAACCTCAACCGGTGGCTGCTCAGGCACAGGTACGAAAGGTTTTCGTGAATGCCGCTAGGGGAGTTGACGTAACCGGCGGTTACGTCAAATCTTCGGCTGGGTAATTCTAAAAAGCGACGCAGTTCTACTAACACATTCCCCAAGTCCCCGACGTCCTCAAAACAGACCGTATACGTTGATTGGCTCAGGAATTGATCGTTACCTCGAAAGGCTTAGCTTTGAGTATCGAAATTTGATTGGTTCGGTGATGGAGCGTAAAAATTGTAGGCAGCACCTAGGCCGCAAGCGAAGCACGTAGAACCTCCACCGTCCACCATCACACTCCGTCAGCAGGCTCCGGTGAGCCAGCCTTCTCCACCAGTCTATTCGGCGCAGCCAGCGACGGCGTCCCTTAAAGGTTTGATACATTCCATTCGCAATCGTATTTTATGCTTCGAATATGTCGCCGGAAGTCCAAATTTATGACCGATCTTGGAAATAAAATAGAGGATACATCACTCAATGGTGGAGAAAGGCCGAAGGATTTGTTATTATTTTGTTATTGTTTAAAAGTTTGGCCAGAGGTTTTAGCTATTCCACCTAAACCAAACCTAATTGATGTGTGGAAAAGTCGTAGGATCGGCTGTTAGTTTGGACGCTCAAATCGTGAATCGTTTCAATTATTTAACTTACGAATAACTTCGCATCGAGTTCCAAAAAATGGATGAAATTTTGATTGAAACATTGTCGTAACACACGTTTTTTTTACCCGTTCTCATTCGCACGTTTTGTATGTCGGTTAACACCAAAGACCAGGCAATAGATGTTCACGAGCCACACATCGCGTTATACTCTGTTCGTTGGGGAGAAGGAGTTTTAAAATATTTAAGGGTGGAATCGAATGTATTCTTTACATTTTCTATATTAAGGGTTTTGACTAATGTGTATTTGAACGCTCAGACCCACAATTGCGGTATTTTGGTTAATAAACTACAAACAAATCTTTTTTTAACGGTTTCCAAAACCGTTTAAGATACCTAAATGACATTTGCACCAGCACCTTTAATAGATAAGCTACTGTGGGTATAATTTCTTAATTCGGCCAATATTATTTCAAATAGCTCTGAAAACAGTGACTGTCTGACTTTAAACAAGAGTGCCTTTTTCTTAGAAATTGTCTAAACAAAACTAGATTTTCCAAAAACACAACGTCTTAAGAATTTTGCAGCAGTAACTTTTGTGATCCGATCAAATGTGACTGTGGTCTAAATTTTATTTAAGAGACTTAAACCCTTTCCTCTTCTTTCTCTTCTTAGTGCACGGTAGATTTCTGCTTAGGGGCCTCTCGCGAATAGTGCGAAGTCAAGACAATCTTTTGCTTCCTATTGCTTATCTTCCGCCATAGATGGTGCGCCAGGAATTGTAGAAAAACACCGATTTCTGAAGGTTTTTAAGGTCGATGAAAATGCCAATACCGCCAATGGTTTCTGTCTGCAATAAAAGACCTTGCCTTGCCTTACCCCAAGAATATCTCTTAACATTATAGTTATATAACGAGTATTAAAAGGTGACTGGAAAATTCAACAATATTATATAAACAATAATATATAAATATTGCAAACAATTTGTTAAGAAATTCTGAATGTTTCTAAAGGGGAAATTTTTAGACATATGATTATATTAACGAAACCAACGCTATTTTTTAACAGTCCATTTACTCTGTAACGTTTTTTCAAGCACCCGGTACATTTATGTAAACAAAATTTAGTGAGTGAATTTCACAGCGTTCTCAGTAGATTACAATCATGTGTCGAATCCATAAAAGTCTCCTCCCATCTCTCTCTCTCCAACGAACAGACTTAACATAACCAGAGCATCCCATAGGAAAGCGGAGTGCTATAGCTAACAACGCCACCACACTCATCATCGGAGTTCGATCAAAATTTTGCGACTTTTTGGGGCGAGACACGCATCTAAAGCCAGTTGTACCGGAACAGTTGTTGTAGGAGGAAGGAACCTCCGGGGCGACCTAAAATGGCCGCCCGAGAACGTCAAGTTCCAAATCGAGGAGGAAAACAGGCAGCGCATCGAACTGGCGAAAGGACCGGCGTTTAGACCGAAACGGAAAGACAAAGACTACACCAGGTTCTTCGAGGAGCACGCTCTGAACAGCTCGTACCCGGGATATAAAATTCCGCCCGGTACCCAGTTCTACAGGCCGTTGTAGAGCTAGGACCATGTGATATCTTTCGAGGCTTATAACTGTTTTTTTTTTCGTTGTCAAGTCCCCCCATATGTGAAACAGATGGAATCGGCTGGGGGACTGTACAACTCACTTTACGTAATAGTGTAACTTTTCGCTTAAATCGCCGCGTTATTTTTTTAGTTTTTAACTACGATGCTGTTTTACTAACGTTACCGTAGACTCCCTAACCCCCCCCCCCCTCCCCAAAAAAAAAGTCAAAATTAGTTTTAGGAACGAGTTACCGCCGCTTTTCGAACTTACCGTTACGTATGGAAATCACGAGACGAGCTTTTGCTGTTTTTCGCAAAGTGTATATTACTATATATATTGGTTAAATACGCAATATAATCGATATTTGTACCGTGTACTTTCGTTTAAATAAAAAAGTCTTTCAAGAAAATAAAACTGAAGTTTTGTTTTTTTTAGCGGAACATAGGAAATCCCATGTAAATTTTTAGGTGCCCAAATATTTTCTCTTCTGTACATTTGTACAGTTGTATTATAACTTTTTAAAGAGGCCGTTTGAATAAATTTTAACATTATTTTTTAAGTAAATGTTCAAACAACCCTACATTAACAGTTAAAAATTCTAAACAACTGGTTAATATTTTCAAACTTAACATTTTTATAGATAACACTTTTCAAGTGACCCCACAGAAATAAGTCGTTCGACGAGAGGTCGGCTGACCTGGGTGGCCAAAGGATTCGGCACCTTGGGCCCCTAATATTCCCGTTAGAAATATTTAAATTATAAGTTCAAATAGGTTTCACTCGATAAATAATAATAATAATAATACATTTATTCTGCAATATTCAATTTACAATACAATAAAGTACCAATAAACCATATAAATTGCAAAAAAGGAGATGAAAGCAATTAAAATTGTTCCAAGTTCCAAGCCCTATGGTGGGTTTTAACGTAGGTCCACGTTATTTGCTGCGCTGATTCTTGTTCGATTGAGTGGACTGTATTTTTCAATTAACTTTATTTTTTAACTTTTACAACTTAACAAACTTTTACAACTAACAAACTTTTACAAGAAAAAAAAACATGAAAAAGAATAACGAAGCTTAACGTTTGCTAGCACGGGTTGTAATGTCGAGACCCAGCGTCCCGCGGTCTCTCTTAAGTGTCGGCAGCGCCGATCCCTTTTTTGCAGGCAACCTTTTTTTTTACGGTGTTCGCGATGTTGCCGTTGGGGCAGTTTTGAAGATTGACCACCCTATAAAAATTAAAAATTACATAGAAAAATTCAGGACTGAACTTACTCAAAAATCACTTGCAATTTGCTTGTTGGCTGAACATTTCTTGTCTTTTTTTTTTGAAGTTTAATGGTAAAGAGAGAGAAACGGTATTGTAAAGGTTGTAAATGTTATAGCAGAAGCTTCTTTGAAAAAGAGACGTCCTGTGTGGTGGCGGAGAGATAAGACCCCTAAATCCAATGTTCAGTCTGTCCGATATGTTATTTGTGAAGTAAGGAAGACAGTTCTTAAAAATAAAATAGTGTAGTCTACGCCTATTCTGCATATTCAACCACTTAATTGTAAATAAAAGTGGCTCTAACAGTTTCTCTAGCTGATTGACCTAAACTTGTTTCAACATTCTGCATTCGATCATCAAGATAACTTTTTATGAGCTTTATCGCACCACCCGAACACCCGACATAATTTAAAAGAGCTAACAGGAGTTCGTGACATATAGCCTTCGAATAGTCCAAAAGCACCAAAACGGATGACTGACCCGATTCTGTTGATTTTATAATGTCATCTGTAATACTCAAAAGCGCCGTTTCCAAAAAAAAATCGTATTTGATTATTCATAATCTTTTCTAGGAGTTTAGATAGGCAAGGCAAAGTACTGATGCGTCTTAATTCCCATCATAACATTTATTTTTTGATCATATTGGCCTCGAGAATGAACAAAACGATATCCATTGTGTGGGCACCAATACCGACAGTTTTAAACATTTAGTTCGTTCCTGAGTGCGAAGGCACATACATCAGTGAAACAAATATATTTTCTTTTCTTTCTTCGTCGCCTTTCCGGAACTCTTGGTGCTTTTCGTATTTATGGGAAACATTCTTCTTCTCTTAATGTGCGTAATCCTTTAATCATTTTGCTTTCCTCCACATACAGTAAGATCTTCAAATCTCTACTGCCTGGACTGTTTTCTGCATAATACCAGTTAATTATGAATACTTATTCTTCAATTGAATAACACATATTTAGCCTTAATTGAAGCGCCTTTAATAACGTATAACAATCACAAATAAAAACATTGTTACTGTCACGAATTTTCGTGTGTCATTGTCAAAATATACTAAACTGGTGTTTGATTTATTACCCAAGCCATAAAATTTTTCAAATTTTGCCATCATAATTAATTCGATACATGAAGATTGGCTTATTAAAATTGTATAGTTATATTACAACTTGGCTATAAAATGTAGGGGCCAATATTTGACTACCTAAAAATTTACATGGAACTTCCTTTGATCTGTTCGGCAATACATCACCCTGTATAGGAATCTGCAATTTTAATACTTCCACGAGACAAAGGATGCGAACTTGGTATCCCTACTAGTGATACTTTTTTGAACACGTGTGCCTTATAATTAAAAAAAAATAATTGGGAAACAATGCGTATTTAAAAATTTGACCAACTAGCCAGTTTTTTGAAAAAAATGTTTTTTACCTACATAATGTTAAATAAGGTTGTCCCAAAAATGCCCCCTCCCTCCGACATTGCATATTTCGCAATTTTTGGAGTCCTAAAATAAAGGCCACTTTCTTAAAAAATTACTATTCGTTTGTTTCTTTAAATAAGAATTCTGAAGTTTTATTAAATCTGTATTAGCAATGGGTTTTATTCGTATAGATCTGGAGTATTATCTTTAAGAAGAGTTATCAAGTCTTTGCTATTTAAAAAATACCTAATATTGCCAACAAGTATTTATACCAGTGGTATCTTAAACCTCGAATATCTCAAAGATTAAGTAAAATTTCAATATGAGACAAATTACAAACTTTTTTTTGTCTTGGGATTGATATCTGAATAAAAATATAGGGTGTTCTATTTGAAAAGCTTGAGATTTTTTTAATTGAATGCGTCAAAACGACACCACCTGTTTAGGACACGCTGTATAAGCTGAGGCGCATCTGACAAACTGATTGAGTAGTACATTATTTCCTTAGTGCGTGGTTAAAGTTTTGTTGCAATACATGAATCAGTATGGGGCAATCAAAACACATACCACTATTTGTGCATAAACTATGCAAAATCCCAATAGGAATTTCTCAAGAAAGTGACCTTTATTTTAACCAAGGATTCAGAAAATGTCGAAATATACGAGGTGGTCCATATAAAATTACAAAGATGTCGGCTAGGGGCCCTGTGTCAACAAAATTATAATATTTAGAATCTTCAGTACAGTCCAAGAGACTTTTGTACTAAACTTTTTTTCTTATCTTCAGATCTTATAGCGGATCGTTTTATTTGGCACACAGTGTACAAATTATTAATAAATTTTAATAGGAATGAACATGTTGGACTAAATTTTTCAGAAAATAGTTTGCGTTTGAGATATAACGAAATATGTTTTTTTTTTGGTAATACGTCATGTTCTGTCAATATCAAAATTAGGCAGGGTTTGCTTTGAAGTTCGGATGCTATCCTAGATATTAATAACGTTCAAGTTGGAAGTAAATATGACAATCAAACATCAAATTTTTAGGTGAGAAATTTAAAACAAGCAAATAATAGTTCAAACTACCGTATACTTATCTTTACGTTAGAGTTTTTAAAAAGAAAATAAATGTAACGCTTTTATATTTGAAATATATTTCCCAAATGAAACGTTACAAACGATTGATGTAGTCTAAAAAAATCTCTACGTTTTCCTTATAACTCGAATAGTCGTCTTGGCCGTAATTGTCGTTCAGCAGGTGCAGGAAAAGGCTGCCTTCCTCCGTTCCAATGACCTTGAAACAAACATCGATGCCGTTACTACAATTTATTAATCCCAACAAAAGCATTTAGATCTAGCTTTAACTCATTTATTATTTTATTTTTTTGAAAAAAAAAATGCCCAAAAATTTTAAACAAAAATTTCCTTTTTTTAGAGTCAATTCTTTCTTTAATGTTTTAAGTATTTCTATGGTTATCTGCGCATGCGCAGGCCTATAAAAACTTACCGCGTAAGACATCTCGCGGTCTTCGACATTCAATACGGGGGACAATCTGAAACAGGTGACGGTTTCCGGAAAGGGCAGAGATAGTTCAGGATATATGTCGCTCTTGCTCAAATCCCAAACGTGAATCGTGTTGCTAGAGTCTTTGGCGTAGAGAACGAAAGGTTTCGTCGTCGACCATTGCACCAATTGAATCGCGTCATTTCCCGGACTCGAGAGCGTCATCAATGGTCTACGGGGCTCCGTCGATAAGAGACTCAGATCACCGCTGGAAAACCCGGCCACGAAGACTGATCTGGAGAACGGGCAACCGTCCAGACACGTCGCTTCGCATTGCTGACCCATTTCGAACTGCTTCGTTTTGTTTCTGGCACCGTTGGTGACGTAATAGAAGACGGAGCCCTGGTCTGTGGTTACGTAAACGTCTTGCCCGACCAAAATGAAATCCGTGCATCGCAGATTAGGCGAATCGACTAGTAGATCCACGGTAGACGTTTTTATGAGTGTGACGTCGTCTACTGTGGATTCTTCGTTCTGGGTCTTCGCGAATAGAGTCCACATCATAAAGACCCCTTCTTCGTCTAAGCTGCATACCTAAACTCACGAGGCTTTAAAGACCGTTCTGAGAATTATCCGTTATCGTGGTCTTAACAGAGTAACTCTACCTCCATTGTATCGGCTCCCGTAAAGTAACACTCGCTCGCTGACTGCTCGTGTTCGATATACCGCACGGAGACGACCTTCGCGCCGTGTCCCTGTCCGATCGGCGTCCTGCAGGTGGGAGTTCTGTTCGAAACGTCGTAAGTTTTGCTCTTTTCTTTGACGTTCCACACGAGTATCGAGCTAAAATTAAATGGTCAGCCCAGAAACACCACGCGGTTTTGATTACCCGTCACTTTCTCCCCCAAACACGAAGTCGAATGTTTCGTAAGCGAACGTCGCGCAGCATACTTCTCCAAACGAGGTAAACTCCATCTGAGGTATGTCGTAGTTCGATATGTCCCATAAACAAAGGACGGTGCGGACGTCTCCTTCGTCTGGGTGCGTTTTGACGTGGACTGTCAACACTTTGGTCCAGCTCTTCGGGTATATGGACACGTGTTGCACTTGACTATCCTTCAACAGGTCGTTGTTCGTGTTGAACTTCACGTAGCCGTCGCTAAAAGGTAGCGTTGGCTCTCCTCGGTTCAGCTTGTCGAGATTACCGAGATTGTCTTCCGCCATCAGTTCTAGCACTAAGTCTGAAGAAATTTTCAAGAAAATTTCCAGCCCCGCATCGTCCGTCTCCTGGACTTCTTCCGCCGCCACCGCTTCATCACTTCCTACGCCGCGATACTCGCACTTGTACGTCGTCCAGAACTCATCGGTTGATGGTCGGAGCTTAGAAAACTTCGCCGGGAACTGGGTCCATTTCGTATTCACCTCAATAAACTCCGTCTGCGTCTCTTCGGAGACGTCATCCTCCCCCGTCTGGGTTGACATTTGGATCCCATCCCTGCTGCCGTAGTTCCTTATAAAAGTTTCATACGGCATAGAGGGCAACTCGAAAATTGTAAAATTTACACAGTCCATTCGTATCATGCTCAAGATCTCTTCTCCCCTCTTCCTCCTCAATTCGCTGGCCTTCATCCGTTCGCACTTTTTCCGCGCCTCCAAGAAGTTGATGAATTGAAGAGACTTTTGCTCTTCGAAGCCTTCGTCGGACCACGACGGCGTAGCTTCCGTCTTAGCGTTCTCCTTGGCGATCGACTCCTGGATATTCTGCAAGAGCTGCCGGTGTTTGAAGTCTCGTAGTTCGAAAGTACCCGAATCCAGCTTCTTCTCCAGCTCTGCCGATCGCACCCCTTCAGTAGTCGCTGGAGGAGCTTGCACCAAATCGTCGCCGCTGCTGATGGAGCTCGTTTCAGCACTAGGAGTAGGCGGTAACTCGCTCGAGTTCTCGCTACTCGACGAGCATTTCTCGAAGTCGGATTCGTATGAGTCGAAATCGTCTTCGTAGTCGTTGGGAGGGGACTTTACCACCAAGGGAGGAGCTTCCGGTCCTACTATATTTTCATTGACCATGCTCCCTTTCCTCAGAGTCGCGGTCCCTGGTCTTTCCGATACCGACCAAGACGTATCGGGAGAAGACACGCTAGACGCCCCTTTCGTCATCGTTTTAGGGCTATCTGAGGCGACACGATGTTTTACACTCGAAGTCTTGAGAGGTACTCTTTTGGATTTGGTGCCGTCGGTTTTGAAAGCCGATTGCTTCAACGCTTCAACGCTCGCAGTCTTGGGTACTGTTTTGGACTTGGTAGCGTCTGCTGTCAAAGGCGAGTGCTTCAACGATCCATGGCTCGAAGTCTTGGGTACCGCGTTGGACTTGTTAACGTCAGCTATCAATGTCGAATGTTTCAACGCGTTGGAATACAAGTCCTTGCTGGGGAAATACTGAGTTTTTGTAACCCTAGTGCTAGATTTGCTGAGCGAGTTTGAAGAAACTTTTTCCTTGCTGGCACCGCCTGTAATTTTCTTCTTCTCGACGGTGTTAGTTCTGGAACTGTCTCTCGGTGTCACGGTCGGTTGCGAAGTCGATTGTTTCGCATCGACCGCGGCTTTGAACCTCGATCTAGAGGGTGCTTTCTTGTTTAGAGCGTATCGGTCCGTACTAGAGTCTCTGGCGGTTCTGGTGGACGATGCTTTCTGTGAGTCCGTGACCTTTTTCTTCGTCGATGATGTTTTGGTGGCATCCTGCAACGTTCACAGCTATTAAAGATGTAGAGAACCTGCCTCATTGATAACACAGGAAGTTCAACATGAGCATGCGCCAGATTTAACCAATGACCTTGCAGAATGCGACAACCAACATGGCTGCTGACAAGCCGTCAACAAATTTTTATGCGGTATTTTTGCGGCAGTATTTTTCCAAAATATTAAATCTTCAGACAAAGTGTCTAAAGTGCATGTGAAATTTAAGAGGCGTCTTGTTATTATCAACTTTACTTTGATTAATAATTGATCAGCTAAACGGATCAAAAGGAAAACCGAAACCTGGCAACGTCGGCCAAGTGAATAAAACGTTATGATCTCGTCAATACAAACAAACGCCAGGCGACTGGATTTTTATTGCCTGGCGTCAAATTGAGAAAATTAGGAAAACGGCTTACCTTACGAGTAGACATGAAACCGAAAGGAGCTGGAGGAAAGTAGCAGGACGGGCGCGTGCATGCGTGCTATTTTGACGGAGAAAACTGTGTCATTTTCCGTTGACAACCGCGAACGGTGCAGAAATAATCGATAGACGCGTCGACGACTCCCTCTAGCGGCGTAGAAATTTATGTTGGATTGTTCGATATTGTATTCGTTTGCATGTCATTATTTTTTTATAATGCACGGTAACAAAACAAGCAACGTTTTGCATTTTTTTTTAAATATCTACTTTTGTCGAGGGGGATTTCACTAACTTACGACCAGAATTAGCACTAAGTACCACATAAATTACCGTCAATTTACACCAATTGCAATGATCTTACTTTTATTCAATAAATAACTACATGTAATTAAAGTAAAATTTATTGACCTACATTTCGATGCCAAAAACAAAAATAACATAAACAAGACGAAAAATATCACATAAAAACTTTAATCTAAGCAAATTTTTATACAAATTTTAAGACAAATTAATATAATAGTCCAGCAGCCAAAATATCGCTCATCTTGAAATACGATATTGAGAACCCATATTTAACCAAAATTATTGTATCCGAGTATGATTTTTCAGATTTAATAATAAAATAACAAGAAAATAATCATTCCATATAGATAGGTAGGTGCAAGAATAGGACATTGTACATATGAATATTAAACTAAATTGATAAAAAAATAATTATTTTTATTAATTTCTACTTAAGGAAGTCACAAAATAAGTAATACATTTTTATCAATTCTTTACATGGATTCTTCTAGAATTTTATAGATTTTGCCTACGTCCATAAAAAACTAATCGTAATTTAATTTAGCCACGTCACTTGTAATAAGAGATATTTCATTATTAATTTAGTTATGATTGTTCCTGAGCTTACAGTACAGCATATTTTTCAATTTATGCAAAATCGAATTTCCGAATATATTTTGATTAGCAATAATTACCATTAATTTTCCCTAGTTACCACGACTGGGTGTACTAAATTACCACATTGAATTCCAGCCCAACTTTTCTGCATCCAAGGATCGAAATCTAAATTTTGCACCAATATATAAGCACTAAAACGCAGATCTCAAAATAAAAATTAAAAAAAAAAAATCAAATCGACTTTACAGGTGAAGTCTATCACGGCTGCTACTTACACTCAACTACAAAACTGATTTCCAATACACTCATAAAGAAGATAAAAAATTACCAGTTGAAAATGAAATTTGAGTGCCAAAAATACAAAATCTGGAAAAGGATAAAATGATACATTTAAATATACAAACTCTTATTAAGTAAAGTGAAAAGAAATGTTTTAATTTTTATTTGAATTTATTAGTACCATGTACTTTTCAATAATAAGAAATTAACAAAGTTCTTTGAAACAAAGCCTTATGATGTGTGCTAAACTGACTAAAAATTTTGATTTAAGACTCCTATTGGTGTTGGAAAAGTGAAGAAGCTTACGCGCCGAAACACCTAAATTGAGTGTATTCAGCCAACCATACTTCATGACATCGTAAAAATATGATCTTTTATGTGAATGTAAGTTATTTAATTATAAAACAATCCACTCAACGGTAGTAATTGAATACTAATAAATTGATTTTATTTCATTCTTTACATCGTAGATGTAATGTTGCGAAGTGAACCTATAATGATGAGCAACAAGTTTCTGCCAGTAAATATATACAAAATTTCTCTAACTTTTCCTTAAAATTTCCAGGAGATCGTGAAATAAAACCCATTATGCATGGATATATTTTATTAATAAAGAAACAGTCGCTTTTTATGTTCTAAATATCACAGATTACCACGTAATTATTCTATGGCAACATATGTAGGAAACCATCTACCGTCGGTAAGGTACACTTTTAAAAAGAGAAAACCAACGTCGCGCACAACATGACCGCGCCCAGCAACGCTACGCCTCTTTCAGACCCCGAACGACACACCGGCGCTTGCCTCAGCAATTCTTCGTACGGCAGCGCCATCTGGTCCGTATTTTTTGCCGTCGGAACCTCCCTTAACCTCAAAGTGGCGTCGTGGAACAAGACGTTCGAATGCCATTCGTATTTGCCGAACATCTCGAAAGAGGGCGTGAGATCGCGGTAGTTTTTCCCGAACAAACTATCTAGCAGGAGAAACACGTCGAGGGTGTCCTTCATCCAGAGTTCCGTGCTGTTGGACCTCACCATCGCTTGACCTAATGGCGCCCAACTCATATGGCAGGGGTAGTGATTCGATGGACAGACCACCACGAAGTCATCGGTGGATTCGTTACTCGAAGGATAGTCGGGGGACTGGCCCGAACCTGAAAGCGACAGTGGTTCGCGTATTGAAGACAGCAAAAAAAAATAAGAACATGTGTTTTATAAATTTTGTAATGGATATTGTTAATTTTATATTTAACAGAAATAAAAAAAGATGTCTACTTAATGTAACAACAATTTTAGGAAAAATTTGCTGAAATTTAATAAAATAAGCAACCTCGATGGCTTCTTAGAAGTTTATGGGGAATACAAAAAGGCATTTATAAAATATTTCAGACATTGCAGCGTTGCCACATCAATTAGAACCAAACACCAACTACATTTTTTTAATAGGATGCCCTGTATATTTATACACTTCTAGATTCTGCGAAGAGTTTTGAAACTTTCCATGTAACGTACGTGTTGTCCTCTCAGAATATTGGCGATCAGTCTGCGCTTGTTCTTGTTGTTCGGCGAATTCGCTGAATATTTATATCGAGCAATTCATATTTCGCATTTATTATTGCATGGTCAAAATACTCCAGCTCTCTTCTTTTTATCGTATCTATTTTTTGTTGTTAATAATCGCTTCATTGGTAGCTCTGATATCCATTGCAAGCTCACATTGCAAAAGCTTCAATCTTCTTGCACATTGTTTCAGAGAAAGTCCATTAGTAACTTAATAAGTGTATTCTTACATCTCTGTTGGTTAAAACATTTTGGATGTTCTTAAATTATGTTAGCGTGCGGGAAGCGCCACTTTACCACGTCAGTTTCGTTTTCTACTGATCCGAGCCACTTCTGACGTTTCCGGGATTCTACCGCACAAGTGTGGGAGCAATCGGATGTTTTCAGAGAGTCAATTCTGACAGTGATATCAGTGAATGTATTAGTGTTGTTTTGCGAAAATGTACCCAAAAACTAACAGTCGTGGAAAAATTATAGTATGCACCAAGTGCGGTTAACGGTATTTGACTCACGAGTTTATTTGACACCGAGCGGAGCGACCGTTGCATACACTTGTTGCATAATGTACTATTAAGAACATGCAAAGTGTCTTAACCAACAAAGATGTAAGGATACACTTATTGAGTATACTATAATATATACTATTTTGCTTGCTGCTTTTGATTTCTTGAGTTAGGTTCAGCGGTTCAGAGATTTCTTGGTATCCGCTCCACAATTTCTTCATTTATTTATTTATCTGTTAAGCTATTACTTATATTTTTGGTTTTAATTGTTTTGCTTTATATTTAATCGTAGACCCATTTGTTGGCTCTGATAAAAGTGCCTATTTTTTAGAAAAATTGGCAACAATCGCGCAAACAAAACTATTTTCAATAATTTTAAGTAAAACTTTGAATTTTTTGTTGCGGTTCCCAATAGGCTCCTGTATAACATGATATGAGATTTTAGTTATCGCATAAAAATGTTTATAAATTTCTAACCTAAAAAAAATGTAGTACAGGAGGTACGATACACTCTGGTATATTTAAAAAAATAATATTTCAAATCTAATATCATGAGTAGGTAGGTACAATAGAAACAAACATTCTTGCTGTAGTCTTCCCATTATCAAAATAACGAAAAGAATTTCGAGATAAATTGTTTGCCAAATGCAATCTAATTCAAGTTTTGAGATATATCGCCATGACGTACTGCTAAAATAAGAAAGCGGTGAGCATATTGAAAATAAATAACCAAAATTTCAGATTTTTACCTAAAGCCGTTGAAAGATAATTAATTATTTTCATGATAGATATTTAATGTCAAATTCAGTTAATTCAGACCTTTCTTTGAAGAAGCCAATAGGATGATTGTACCTGTCCTTTGAAAATTGAGAAACGAAATATAACATATATATGTAAACGTAAAAACTTTCAGAACTTTCATTCTATTCAAGTGGTGTGGCAACGTTGAACAGACCTAAATATTGTAAATATTCAATAACCATCTTTTTCCATTCGCAATTCGTGGATTTCTGTATATAAATAAAAAAAAGAACCTAATACTCTAGACCTCACCGGAAACAAATGCCTTTATGGAATTCCTGGACACGAAGGCGACGTCTCCGATGCCGCTGCTCAAACAGTGCAAAGCCCCTAAGTCGCCATCGAACCCGTCCTGGCAAGTTTTCCACAGATTTTCCAAAGATTCGTTCTTCGGTATGCCCGGTACACAAGAAGGTCCGAAATATTTGGCCAACGCCTCATTGACCGAACAGTTACCAATCAGACCGAGCTTTTGTAGAGTGCGAATGGTAGAATGCCAAGCTACCCCGTCGTAGGTAGCGAAGCACGCCTTCGCACCCCGGAGGTCTTTGAAACCGTCGAATTTGGTGCCCTTCCTGGTGACAGCAACGCTGACGTACTTGTCCTCGTCCTTGGCGGTTTCGTAAAACAACGTCTTCAATTTAAAGTCCCTAAAAATCACCGGTACGTTTTTTTAGCACAAAATCCCCCAAAAAAATGGTAATTCGTTGACTAAAACAATTAAATGGTAAACGTGGGTTAGAATAAGAAGAAAATTCTGGAATTGAGGACAGCCAAGTAGTTAGGAAAATTGATGAACATTCTCATCAAGAGAGGATAAAGAGAAGAGAGAGAATGTAGAAGGAAGAAGAAGAGAAATAATTAAAATTTTACTTCAATTTCCTATAGTAATTGTAAAAATTGAAACATCCTAAAAAAAAATAAATAAAAATAAATCTTATTAGTTATATAAAAGGAGTACAGAGTGATCCAACGAATATATTTAAGCCCTTTTTATTGTGGCACTGGCTGCATTCCAAAACACTTTCTGTTTGTCGAGTGCAGGTTTGGTGGGTTTGGGTCAATTTATGGGTTGCTGAATAAGTTCCTGTATTATCCTCTATAACTCTAGTAGTTTTATGGTTTTGTCTATCCATTCTAAAACCTACATCCCATCCATGCCTATCCATTCTAGAACACTGAGAATTGTATGCCAAAGGTTTATGGTAGGAGATTCGTAAAGAAAAATAGACTAGACTAGTCGGATTGATTTTGCTTGCATCGTTGGGGGCGTTTTGCGACATCACTGCAAATAAAATCTATTTTATCAGAAAAGTTAAATGCAACATCACTTTTATTGTAAATATAGTCAGATAAGGCCTAACAAGTTACCGCATGTCTTTGTCTTAACCCATAATATTTGTTTGAATATTTGTTTGTAAAATTTTCACAAAAAAAAAACAACGCTATGGTGATATTATACAGTGATACATAAAAGTGCTTATTGTATCAAAATATAGCCAAATAAAACCTAACACGATAGTGGAATAGTCTATTATGCAACAAGTTCGGTAAACGGCATTTGACTCACGAGTTTATTTGACACATGCGGAGCGCAGCGGAGCGAGTGTTTAATAAACGAGTGACTTAAAAACTTTACCGAAAGTGTTGCATACTGTACTTTCTCTACGACCATTTGGGTACATTTTCGCAAAACAATCGGAATACATTCAATGACGCGACCGTCAGAATTGACAAACGTCAAAATTCAAGGCGTAGGAAATATCTCCGAAAACAAACCCGTGCAGTAAAATCCCGGAAATGTCCCAAGTGGCTCAGATTCGTGGGAAACGAAACTGATGTGGTAAAGTGACGCTTCCCCCATGCTATATCGGTGTGTGTAATTAGGTATTTTACAGACGCAAGTAGAAAAACTTTTTTTCGATATCTAGTTCCTAAAATATAATATCAGTAAAAGAAATAAACACTCGAAATAATGTGGCATCTTAGGGAATATTTTCCATTTTCCACTATTAAGTTTTAATATCCGTTGTTTGTAGCAAAATCTTATGCAAATGTACTCATTCCCTTATGACTGAATATTACAATACAAAATATGACCATAATGAAACACAATAACGAACATAAAACACTAAATCCTTGTGTTTTAATGCAGGTAACGCGATCCCATAGATTCTAATAGAAGCATATCGATGTGGAAAAGGCATTTTTCATTAACCAAAATGCGCTATGAATAGCTACAATTTTAATGTTTATTGACCCCATTATAATTTTTGCTACTTTGTTTTCCAAAGCACACTCGGATTTTAAAAATTTTGAATTTCTTGTCGACAGGTGGAAACTGTTATTGACATTTTAAATATATATATATATTTTTTAAAACAACGAAAATTATGATTTAATAATGCAGGTATACTAACAATATTTCATTTCTTTTACTGATATTATACGTTGAACTTTTACTTTTCTATATGTATTTTTTAGCATTTAATTTCATTTATAGTGATAATAGCAAAACGCCATCTAGCGGTCAGCGTCGATAACCTAAAAAGGAACCCTTTTCAACATCTCCAAGTTTGACAGAGAGTTCAGAATTGTTGTTTTTCTGCAATATCTTCGGCGTATTTCATAAAACGATTTTTTTGGTAAATTTGCTATACATATAAGTGCCTTTTTAATCAAATTATTTTCAAATTCAATATTCATGGGCATCAAAATCTCGATAATTTCTTTCTCAAAAGGGTTATCCATAACTACTACTGAATCAGCCAGAAGATATTTTATCACTTTAACTATAGTCTTCAAAATCATCCTAACTCAAATTCTCATGGAAATCTCTTGTTTACTACAAGTTAAAGCGACATTTAAAAAGACCTTTTCACTTCCAATATTCTTCATTTTTTCCGAAGGGACCTTAATACCTGCTGACGGGCCTTCCATCAATGCTTGACGAGGGTTGATTTAATAATTTTGTATTATATGTTTATTTTGTATATTTATGTATACATATTATAGTGTTACCTTCATTAAATAGCGTCTTATCGAGAGAAAATATTTCTTTTGCTCTTTTCGGGACTTCTCAACTAATTTTCATAGCTAGCAAAGAATCAAAATTCATGTTTTTCAAAGTTGAAAGTTTTATAGTTATCAATAGAATGCTGCCATGATGGCCAAGCTAAAATTTAATCTTGTCGTTGGTGCGTATTTTTTTTTTTTTATAAAAAGAGTGAACTCGAATTGCACATCGCAATTGCAATTGGACAGCGTGGATTTTTGTATTGAAATGGCCTATAGCATATCAAACTTTTTTATACTCTGTGGTACGAACAAACAGAGTAGAATTTACCTCAATCCCGAGTGCACCAGGTCCGGTGGAACTACGGCGACGTCAGCCGCGTTGACGTTCAGGGCGAGCATACAGTGAGTGACGTTATCGGCTTTTATGCAGTCAAGGTCGGGCTCGACTCCGTAAACGGCAGCCGATTCCCTCAGCCAGGCGCATTTGGCGTTCTCCAGGTTGGACGTGGTGCAGATGCGGATCGTCCTCGGAGGGTGACATCCTGAGAAGCTGTTAGCGCTGAGGAAGCCCTTCGCCTTGTGGAAGTAAGACTCTATCGACTCGACGGGATCGAGGGTTTGGACGGTGACGTAAGCGGTCTCGAGGAGGTACAGCAAACTCGACTTCCACGGGCTGACGTCCGAGTGGTTCAGGCTGGAGATGATCGCTTGAATTTCCTGGGCTTTGGTCCTGAAACAGGGCGTCATCTTTGCCTTTACTTTTTATTTATTTTGAAAGAAAATTATTCAAATAGGCTCACCTTCTGGTAGCTATGACCGACCACGGCTTAACTACCCAAACGCAGGGGTCGGTGCTGTTCAGAGGCATCACCGAGTCGTCGGGACACAGCAAGCTGTAGAACTCCGGGCTATCTTCCTTTCCGCCGGATGTAAGCCCAAAATGTTGCCTGACGTCATCTAGTCGAGCCCAGCTGATGTCTCCCGCTCCGTCGGTGAGGCAAAGCAGGGATCCTCTCCTACCCCAATACTTATCTTGCTTGGAACACCTTGCCGGGTTGTCGCAGAGCCGACAAAGGTTGGGATATTTTTGTTCTGCAAATCAATTGCTGTTTATTATATATCATTTATATACAGGGTGTTTTCGAAACGAATCTTAATAAATAAGTGAAAAATAAAATATGTTTTTTTTTATATCTATAATACCACTTTAGATATTTTAATGATATTTGGTACACATGTACTACGTATCAAGAGGCCTTATTTAGTGTACCACATTTTTTTTTAAATACACCAGTGGCGGGCGTGCGGAATTTCACATGTCTATTTTGGCAGACATTGATGGTACACCACTGAAAAATTATTCTTACAATCTTCAATCACTTCTAAAAAAAATTAATTTCCTTAATTTCCTGATTCTCTGCATGGTGATAACAATATCGTTAATATGACAGCATGCAGAGAATTATTCTCATTATTATTTAAGTAAATGTCTTGTTTTTTATTTTTATTAAAATACTTTAAAAAATCGAAGTAGGGATTCGAAGCACGTAAACTTAGACAAATAAAATAAATTTTATTATTTATCTTGTTAAGATGTTATGTTATTTCATTAAAATTGTAAAAGTAAAAAGAATAGTCTTCTAATATTTCTTTATGAAGGACACTAGTTGGTAACCAAAAACTAGATATTTTGTTTTAGATAGATACTTTAATTTCACAAAAAAGTTCTCGATTTATATAAAAGAAAATATTACCAACTAGTGTGCTTCAGAAAAAAGAAATTAGAGGACTGTTCTTTTCACTTTTAGAGTTTTAATAAAATAACATAACATACTAACAACAAGATAAATAATAATTGATTTTTATTTAAATTTATTTTATTTATTTAAGTTTACGTACTTCGTCTTCGTAATTGAAATATTTTAATAAAACAGACATGATGTCATATTAACGATATTGTTATGAGAAGTCAGTGGCGTGCCTTCAATGTTTGCCAAAATAGCCAGGTGTACGTCCGCCATTGGTATATTTAAAAAAAATGTTGTACATTAAATAATGCCTTTTGATACATAGTACATATATATGTTCCAAATTTGATTAAAATATCTAAAGTGGTATTAGAGATATTAAAAAAATATATTTTATTTTTGAAAACTCTCAAAAGTTGAGACTTTTAGGACATATGTTCATATGAAGTTTTCTTTTAAAAATTTATTAATTTAATTAGAAAACACCCTGTATTGCTTCCAGAAAAGATAGTCGCGAAGAAGAGAGGAAACAATAGCTTAGCTTTTTGAGTGCTAAGTAGAGACGATTTAAAGGTTGCCGGTTGTTTTTGTTTTGAGATCTGCTTTGAGCAATGACAACGATGCATTCGAATGGTTTCATTTCCGGTGGATGTTTAAATTGTTGATTTAATTAAGTTTTAGGCAGTCGTGAGTTTTCTACTTTTAATAAGGGACTATTTAGAATGCAACAAAAGATAAATGCCTCGAGTCCAACAAAAGTTGGTCTCGCCAAAAAAAAGTTTGCTTAAATTTGTTCTATAACGTCGACATATCAAAGAGTATTGGGCAACCACCATTTTGGTTTAAGACATTGTTTAGTTTCATTACTACTGAATCACTATATATCTAAAAAGAGAGGTGGAAATGAAATAAGTATATTAAGATACTATTTCAACAGTAAAATCGTGAAGTTCGCAAGGAAAAGCTTATACAATGCTCCAAAATAGTTAAGATTTCGTTAAGACTAGGTAATTAACACATTTAAGGTACTCTAACCACAGAGCCACATCGCATCGGCTCGAATGTTCCATCTGTTTCGCTAGCAGGCGTTGCGTTCTAGAAAAGCGGAGCGCCGCATTCGCTAGGAGTCAGTCGAAAAGTGAAGCCGGGACGCCCAAATATAAATAATCGACAGATATAAATAGAGACTTTATGAAAATTATTAGTTGTGTACAATGCGATTTTATTATTTCAGACGATATAAATTTTAAATCCCCGAACAACTTTTGTCATATCGGCTGATATCGATAGTGATCGATTGTTGGCGATTTAAAAAATAGGTATCTAGATACTCACTCAGTTCTCTATCCAAGACAGCGTTCCTTACCCACGGACCAGCCTTGCAAGCACTCAGGAAAATTTCCGAAGAAGCTCTCACGCGATTTTCGGTAATAGTCAGCTGAGGGTCGCACTGGGGTGGTACCGTGCTGGCTTCGAAGTACTGAAAAACATGTGTCCCGAAGCAGTATTAGCATAAGGACGCAATCCTAATAAATTAAAATTGCCAAAATTAAAATTTCTATAAATTCATTTAAAAAAAAAATGATAACGATATTTATCTGCGTTTAGAATGTGATTGAATTAGTCGTCCAGTTCCATTGAGAGAAGTTTAAAAAAAATATTTTGTACCATTTTTAATAAATCGTTTCATTGATGGATATCATACTTTACTATAATTAACTTAATCAGAATTTATAGTCAATGTTACAAGTGGTGTTTATGCATGTGCCTAGTGCAATATTGTTCAGTCTGATTGAGTTGTTCGAATAGAAACTCCATAGGTATGGAACTTGTAGTCAACTTCAAATGTTGTTATGCCTGTTATGGTGATGAATTTCATCAACGAATAGCAACCGCGGTTTTTTCAATCCTGAGACCAAAAGTCAATCCAAAGAATGGCCTCCCTTCAAGTCGCTTGAATTTCCGTCTCTTAGAAAGGTAATACTTACTGTATTCTGGAATTGCGAAGGGATTTTTATGGATTATCTAACGAAAAGTACAACAATTAACGTAGAATAGTGGAAATTTGTGGTTGGGCGACATGCACTTTTCAAAAAAGGACCTGGAATGTTGCACAAGCGCCCGGATATTTCAGGAGCATACGACAAAAGAAAAACGAACAATGTTTTGGTACTTACGATGGGAATGGATTGATTTCCAGATTTAAAAAATCCTTACGGAGTATTCGATTTGATGGTTTAAGACGTGCAGTAAATCGATGGATAAATAGTTGAGAACTATTTAAACTGAGATTATGTTGAAAAACTATTTTATAATGTGTACAAAAATTAACAAAATAATAAAAATTTTATCTAAATTATTATAGCTAAGTTTGGAAACATCCCTCGTACTTTTAGCGATAATAATTGCTTCAAGACACTGTAATTTGGAAGATGTTGCTGATTTGAATTAGCTGATGTTAAAGCATATACGATTTTTGTTATTTTTTAATATTTTCTTAAACTCGGATTTAATCGCTACTTACGTTCGATAATATTCTGGTCCAGTCAGTTTCGTAGCCGTAACCGGGATGACAGAACCTCTTGTTCCTCAAATCGTGCCTGCTTCTGATGTTCGCGTGGTTGCCTACTACCGCAACGACCTCGTATTCGAACTCTTTCTCTGCGAAACGATAACATCACTCGAAAAATCCCCTTCGCTACGCGGCAATTAATAATTTACCTCTTTCGTAGCGCAATTCGTTGGTAATCAGCACTTCTAGCTCCAAATTCGACGCCGCTACGAGATCCTCGGGCGTGAAAACCGCAAAATCCGCTTGGTGCTTGTTGATACGTCTCAGGCAATCCATCCTAGGAAAATTAAATTAGATCAGATCGTGATACGTAACGTTTGCGGCAAATTTTAAGGTCGGTTTACCTACGCATACTTATTCGCTGGCAAGTACAAGTTAACTTGGTGTTAAATTGAAAAGAAAGTTTTATTTGGTGATGTTATAATGTAATAGAAAATATCAGTCGAAGTTGAATAAATAAAAGGAAGTACGTTTTAGTGAGAAGAATAAAGAATATCAACAAAAACGTTCAATGTTTGAATAATTTAAAAGGTTCTAAATGAAAAATAAGAAATTTTTTCATATCAACCTGTTCTCAGCTTCGAGAATACAGGGTGTCAAGCTTAAAAAAAAGGGTTTTTGATAAGTATATCGAATATTCCTTAACCGATTTTGCTGAAATTTGCTTCTTCTTCTTTTTATGGTGCTGAGTTCATGTGTAGTGATAGGATGCTGACTCGTTCACCCTAACTAGATTAATTTCCTGGGCATGTAATAAAATTTTTTTTTTCGAAAACGAAGAAATATTTTTAAAATAGTTTGCCACCCTCCATCCTAAACCCATGTTTATATTAAAAAAAAAAACATGTATATGCTTTCTTTAATCTCGCTAATAATCTTCTTTTTTACGTTTATATAGCAGGAGTTTAATAAAGCTTCTTTTCTCTTTTAGTTACTTTCTTATCTATCAAAGTGGATAATTATAGTTGTTAAATAGTAATTTATCTTATCTAGGATGACGATATTTAACGAAAATAGAGACAGATAAATTACCGATTAGTAATAACAAATTTGTAAATTTTCGGTTTTGATTTAAATATTAATTATAATTATAATTAATTAAAATAAGAAAAAAATAAAAGAAAAATGAAAAAATTCGGGAAACAAATAGGAAAAGACAACAATTCTAAACCTTTCTGTTTTTGCTTTTTTGTCTGTCGAACCTTGACCGATTTCATACGCGATAAGTTAAAGATTCTCCCGGCCTCTTAAGTATCGTTTCCTGCATTTTTTCGACTCGAAAAATGTATTAAAAATCTTACCTGTCCAAGGCGACTACGCACTCTACTGTGCTCTCCGCCGCATCAAGCTGCGGGCAATACCTGGTGGATTTTTTATAGCCTTCTTTCCCGTCGACTACGCATAGTTTATCTGGAAAGCATTTTTTAAATTCGAGCCCAATAACAAACATAATTGGAAGTTGTTTATTCCAATTGAAATCGTTTATCTAATTAGTACTTGAAATTAAAAAACCAATAGAATAAACCAAGTGAAGTGCACATGGGAAAAATGATCCGAAATATCGAAAGTCAAAATTATTACACCAAAGTTTTGAGTCCCTTAGATTCGCATTTAAATACAAGCGTACAATGAAAGAGCGACCCACGTCCTCTCAATTTACGAATAACCCATCCAAATCCAATAGCCAATCAAAAAGCTGAGAAGCATCAACATTACTACTTGACGTTGCAACAACAATTAGAGTGGAAATGAATTTGACGTTCAAAAAGTAAAACAGGAACTATAAATTCAGTAATGAGAAACCTCTGGCGCATATGTTAATAATAGCTTGTCATTTTGAAAGTTTTACTAAATTTAAATTTAATATGGTACGAACAAACGAGCAAGGCCCCGGTGGTTATTTTTGTTACCTAATAGGAAATTTTAGATCGTTTTTCCATATTTTTTAGGGGAGTTAGCTAGATTTTTTAGTTTTTTTTCCTAATATTTTGGGTAATAATTTTTATTAGCTATTTTTTCTCTAAAAATTAATAAACCTTCTAGTAAAACTTACTTTAAAACTGCCCGAAGTGACTTAAACTTTTTTTAGACTTTTAGAGTTAAACTTTTCTGTAACTATTTTTTTTAAAAAACGACCAAAATAAACAATTAGCTTTTAATTACGCAAATCTACTTTTAACCGAAACAAAACTTTCATTTCCCTCAAAGCATTGAATAGTCATTTTAGGCGAGTGGAAATATTTTTTTATTTCAAAAATTTGACTGAAAAAAAAATTTCCTTCATGCACCTGCCTCACTCTTTGGTTACAAATCTTTTTTTTTTTAAATATCTACCTAGGAATCTACTTTACCAGTTTAGCGCATAGTGTTAACTAAGTTTCAGATTACAAGCGAAATAAAAGGAAATTAATCGTCAAATACTGGGCGTATCGCTTTATCTTCTATAAATAACCGCACAACATGCAACCGCATTGGCGTTGATATAAACAACAACACAAATTACATATTTTTTTACGTTTCTTTTACTTACATTTTTCGCAGCAGATTGCCGGAAGCCAAAAAAACAGCACGAAGAGCGCGACGAAACACCTGCATGTCTTGTTCATGGTACCGCCAAAACTTAAATTTTGTACCGCAATTGTTTACCGACGACGGGACCCCAGCAGCTCCGTGCGATCGGTTTTCAATGTTACCAGATACGATCTGTGGTCTCATTCACCAGCGGCGTTCTCTTCTACGCACATTATATTATTAGTTATTAGCCTATGTAATTAATTTGAAATTATTGTTTTCCTTTCGGTGATAAGTGTATGAGCCGATGGTATCGAATACGAGGGCTGTTTAACGAATTCGTTTAGTTCAGTTGGAAGAGCATGAAAAGTTAATATGGACTTAGTTTCCGGTTCCCTTACTGACTGCTCTTAAATGGGCATTTCTTGAAAGAACTTTATTTACAGAGAACAAGAAGCTATAATTACCAAGACACCTTCGAGAAAGATTATATTATTTTGAAGATAAAATTGCTTCTAGGTTCACTCTATCTGGATGTCTCCTGCGTTGGCCATGGACTCTGTCTGGCTGACGTTTCGCCAAACATGCTCTTTCAGAGCCCTGTCTGAACCTGTTTTTCTGACTAAGACTAGCTGAAACTCAATTTGAGGCAGCCCTGAAGAAGCCAGAAGCATATCATCAAGGAGAAATCCAGAAGGAGTTGTTCCTAAAACTTACACAGTCTGCGGATGCTTCTTTGGAAAAAAAAAGGTGAAATTGATGTGTGGGCCAGCAATATAAATAGAATATATTTATATTGCTTTTATATAAATATAAAGTCAATTTTTATCATCAAATAATAAAAGTAAATGAATAAGTAACAGCTACTGAAAAAGGTTATTTTGATATACAACAGCGCATTATTTATTATACAGTTTGATTTTTATAAGCGAATGAATGAAGAAGTTTATACTATGCTCTTCCTAACTTCCAAACTCAGAAAATAAACTATGGAAAACTAGCCAAGACTAGCCAAAATTAAGGAAAGCTAACCAAGAGAAGACTAACCAAAAGTGAGTGACGAAAGAGCTCCTATCCTATCCTATGTTCCTAAACTAAACAAAACTAACCAAAACTAAGTCGCTGCGCTCTGCCAACAGCTCCTACCTGACTTGAGACGCGAAAGTGTGAGTTAACACATTAAGGAAGCAATATATCTGATTGCATGAGGTTCGCAATATCAAAAAAAGGATTAAAAAAAAACGTCTTAATTGTTTTATATTATTTGGTAATTGGTAAAAATGGTCTACATATAAAGGGGCGATCCATCATGTGAAGAACATATGGCAACGCCAGGCCTTCTTGAATGTGGCATTGTTTTCATACTTTTATCATTATGTTCTGTAATATAATTATATTATTAGCACTGAATAAAAAAATTAATAGATAAAAACTAGTTTTGATCAAACGGGGTGTTTTTAAATTAGCTGTTAGTACTTCTTATGGCATTTCAATAGTGCAGCTTGCAATGCTTTCAATTTCTCTTATTTTTTAATTCAAATGCCTTAACATATTAGTTTAATGAGATTTTTTAAATAATTTAGGTTTTTGATAGTACCGGTTTGTCATTGGGATATATCAGTATTTTTTCTAAACACCCCGTATACTTTTAAAACGCGTTTATATTTTCGAACGATCTCCTCAACTCTTGTGACGCCATTGGCAAATCCTTTCAACAAATGGTTTTTGAAGGCTACGAAGGACGCCCCTTTTCTGAACTAGTTTGGATTTGCCCGATCTTTCCTCACGTGGAATTTCCTTTACTATAAGCGATCAATTCTGACACGCGCAGAATTATGCGCCGTTGCCGGCTCTCGCAAAACTTCCTGCCGTTTGCGAAAAAATGTATTAGAACCTCTGCTCAAGTTGTTAATCGTTTTTAATCAGCAAACCGACAACGCTGCAAATATATGCTTCGTCTGGGAATACGTTACTTTATGTTAATGTGGATAATTGGCTATACTCGGTAAGTAAAAGGACCTTGGTGACTTCATCGTCGTTTTTTGGGTAGGATTTCTCAGAACGCTTTAACTTGGGATTAACCAATATTTACCGTCTGCCAAATATTATTTTTAAAAAAATAAAAAAATCAGTAGAATATTTAGTTAACATCAGCAGGACAAAAATAAACTCTATAGCAAAGCAAAAAACTTGCGAAAAGGTAAATATTAACAGAGCCCTCTACAGCTCGCTAGACGGTTTTTACTTAATATGGTACGTTTTGGAAGAATATATAACAAACAAATATATAAAATAATGCTACGAATTAAGAAACTGTATGTTTAAAGAGGAGATCCAACATCATCCTTGGCAAATAGAATTTTAAACAGGCGGGTTTATATTTACTGCCAATTATATCCCGGTCAAGTTTAACGAATTGCATGGCCATGATATTCAACATATCCCATTAATATGGTGGGTAGGTAGGTATATCCAGTTTTAAAATGACATTTTAATTTGTGGTATTCACGAGCGTAATAAAATTTACATTTAAACGTCGACGGTATTATTTTTTTTTTTCATTTAATTGTAGCTCAAAATGTATATTGATTTACAACTCCGTATTCTATTATTAACGTACTGGATATCAAAAGCTTTTCCTGAGTTTTGAGACACTTTTTCAGCGATGTATTATCAGACTGGGTTTAATATTTTAAGATTTAAAAATAAAATATTAGATGCAGCGTCCTCTTGTGGCCTAATATCGAAACATGTGTGCAGACATGGTAGAAATCGCCTTCAATTCGCTGGGAAATCGTAGAGATGGCGCCGCGTCGCGTAACAATTCGTTTTTGAATTTGCCTTCGCATTAATTATCTGAACTAATTATGGTTAATTGGTAAGATTCATTCCCAGAAAACGACGTTTTCCAATCAACGGAGCATAGAGTACGCAGTGTTGATTTATGATAACACCAGGATGTGTTTACAATTCAACAAAATTCGTAAATTAATCTAAATTAACACATTCTAACAATGAATGGTAGAGATAATGTTATTGACGCGAACTTAATTTGCATATAATGCTCACCATTTAGTTAACGTATGCAAAATTATATTTTTTATTGCAAGTTTGAGACCTGCGCTGCATCAATAAAATTAAAGTGTATTTGGCAACGCCGCTTTTCGAAAAACAACCACGTGTTAGGGCAACATCAAAACAGAACCGGTACTCAGTTTTAAAAGGCATATTTATGATAAGTACACTCACGCGTACAAAATTGACATGCCCCGAGCAGTCAGTATATCGTCGACCACGGCAACACCGCGGTCGCGTTTATTTATAACTTTTTACATTTGTTTGGTTCCAGCTTTTATTCTGCAATTATCATAATGATATCTCAGAGATAAGTACAATCTGGAGATAGGGTTCTGTCAATATGTCGGCCCGCGACCAATTTTTAGCATTGCCGTTACAAAAGACGCGTCGTGTGATGTAGATTAGACTCCAGTACCGCTTTTTTTTGGAATTCCTTACCAGAGGTGAGAGACTTTAGCGACCTAGATGATTATTCTTGTCGGCTTGGGTCTATTTTTAATAGACCTTCGCAAGGACGACCGAGTTCATTATCACCATTCCGACGGGAGTGCCGCCCATAAAATCAGTGATTTTTTTTATTAACTTTCTCAAGTGTTTCATCATCTATAAACCGACAAATATTCCACAAATCTTTGTTTCGTAGGGTTAATAATTGTTAAGCTAGATAAAAGTAACATTTCGAAAATAATAAATTAAATCTACAGGATGAGCTATGCTTGGGCGACAACTCTGGTTTTTATGTAATCTGTGAATATCCTGCAGCCCTAAACTAATTAAAGCAATTGTCCTGTTTGTATAGAAAAAACTTAAGAACAGTTTATATGAAAATATTTAATAAAACGGCTTATAATTGTTTAAAGACTCACATCCAGTTAATTATTCAATAACTACTCACACCAATATTTTGTACACAAAAAAACGACGTTACATTACAAAAATCTAAATTTATTTTGTAAAATCCACATTTTCTACTCTTCTTTAATGATATGTTGGACTGCTTTCCGCCTATTTTAATCTTTTATCTCTTTCTCTCCCTCTCCCTCCCCCCTCCCGACCCCACTCCCTCCTCTCCCTTCTCTCTCTCTCTCTTCCTCCCACTACCCCTCTCGCCAATATCACTCTCTCTAAACGTTAATAAAACATTGAAGACTGTCTTTAAACAGAAGCAAATACGCCGTTTTATTTAAAAAAAAATTACGCCCTCGGGAAAGGTCCGCAGCAATGCCATTTTTATTTTAAACTGAGGGAAAATTGAATGCGTGCATAACCAGGATTGTTTTTTTTTCTATTTCAGTTTTCCCTACTACGCAGAGATGAAAGTCAACAGAAATCTCATTGCCATAAAGGCTCATTATTTCTTATTTATGGCAGGTGCGTATACCATCTTCGGCATCTACTGAAGTGACAAAAAAATCACTCCTCAATATCTTATTTTTATTTTTTCCTACAATCAAATAATCGAAAACTGACGAAGTCGTTTAAGCCTTTGCAACAATGCGTGCCTTTTAGCTATGGGACCCATCTTACCTCAGCTATCGGTTTATGGCAAAGAGATGGGCATATCGACGGTGGTAATGGGCGCCGTAACCGGCATTCTACCTGTTGCTTTCCTAGTAGCCAAACCGTTGTTTGGCATCCTCGTCGATATCTACAGGGACTACAGGAAGGTCATATTTATGACGCTGATCTTCGTGATGACATTGTCGTTCAGCCTGATCGCTTTTATTCCTGCGACGACGCAGCTGAGCCGCTCGGTAGTCAGCGGTCAGCTGGAGGATTTTTACTTGGATACATGTAAAGTCATAGTCAGTGCGTAGTTGATATAATATGTCGTGTCCGTTTCGAATTATCCGGGGTGTTACTTAATGATAGGTCATTAATTTCAGAACTCGAGTGGCGTCTCAGTGACACTTTGTTGTTGTTTTGTTATCTTTGAGTAATTAATAACGCAGATTTCGTTGGACTTTTGCACTTGAATTTGCTTCAAAAAAGTCCTCTGAAATTGCGGCTTATCATTCTTAATTAACTCCCGGAATAGGTATTATTCTGACGGGTTTTGTTTATCTTTCTTTAATATAGTCCGAACAGGGGTGACAACAAATTTTATTACTTGAGGTTATGAAAAATATCCGTCAAGGTCAGTCGAAAACGTTGTTTTGACAACTTGTCGAGCAAAAGCTGCAATTAGGTATAGTAAACACTCGCAGCTGATCATTTTAAATATATTGGCTTTTTTTCAACTAGTAAAGTGTAATTTGTGGTAATCAGCGAACATGTGTTTCTGGAAACCAGCATATAGAGGATTTTCTAATTGAATGTCAATGTTTAAGGGGGTGATTTTTGGGTCCAATTTAAAAAGAAAACTTTAGATGAACATATGTCCTAAATGTCTTAATTTTTGATATACAAGGTGGTAAATTTTTCAAAAATAAAATATATTTTTTTAATATCTGTAATACCGCTAGGTATTTTAATGAAATTTGACACACTTGTACTAGGTATCAAGGGGCATTATTTAGTGTACCACCAGTGGCGGGTGTACGTAATTTCACCTGTGTATTTTGGCAGACATTGATGATACGCCACTGATTTTTCTTAAAATGAAAATTATTTTTTGCAATCTCCAATAATTTCTAAAGAAAAAATAATTTCTTGATTTTTTTCAATCCGATGTCCGATTTTCACCTAAAAAATAATCTCTACATGGTCATAACAATATTGTCAATATGACAGTATGCAGAGAAATTAGTTTTTATTTTTAAGTGAAGACTGTGCGACTGACTAAAAAAAATTAAGAGTAGATTTGCTCATAAATGAATTGAAATGTAATTTTTTTTAAAGGAAATCAGTGACTTGCCATTGACTGTCTGTGAATAAATAATATTTTGGTTAATTAGGTCTTCACTGCACTGGCTAAATCGAAAACTTTTTTTTTTGGAAAAAATAAAATATCTATCTAGTTTTTAGTTACCAACTATTGTCCTTCAGAAAAAAATCGTTCATCTCTTCTAGAGTGTTAACTGGGGTGCAATAATCCAGACTTTTAAGATGTCTCCATAAGAAAAACTCCAAACTATTTAAACTTGGGGACCTAGGGGCCATGGTTGAAGTTCGCCGCCACCTACCCATTAAATATGAGACTTCTCTAGCATTTGGCCTCTCTGACAGGAAAAAGAGTCCAATTAAGTAATTTACAAAAATTCCAGCCCAAACATTTAAAGAAAATTGTTCTTGATTTTTATTAATACAGATTTTATGTCTCACATAATTGGTAAAATAAGCATTGCAGAAAACGTAAAGTTTCTTGTTTTTATTTCAATTATAATAAGCTTGATTTTCAAGATTATTACAATTGTTACAATCTGCTCAATCTAGAGTAGTTATTTATACTGTATGGCTATAATTTAAATAACACGTGCGTTTAATATTTGTTAATTTGTGTTTTAATAGTCGGTGGCTACATATCTCGGCAGTATTTTATCATCAGTAGTCTGAAGGCGATGAGATTATCTGTTATCTGAAATGATTTCTATTTCTACACCCGAACATCATATTCATATAGGCCTACGCAATACCTAGACGTAATACCAGAATCTCTAAATACAGACAAACTGATTGACACAATATTGAATGAACTTATTCCATAGCCAATCGAGATAAGTGTTTTGAATTGTTTATTTATATGACTCCAAGGAATTTTGTGTTTTGAGTGAATATTGATCCAGCTTTCCAAATTGTCTTGATTCAGGCGTCGTGTTTCTTTTTTGAACAATTCTTCTACGTCTATGAGCAACTAATAAGAACATTTATTTCCGCATAGTAAGATCGTATCATCAGCTTAAGTAATCATTGCTTGGCCTGTTTCATTCGCTGCAAAGGACAAATCGTCGATGAACGCTCTAAGTAGAACCCAAAACACAGTGATCGACTTTCGCAAAATGTTATTTTTAAAAATATTTTTACTTGAGCTTAACTTTAATTTTTGTATAGTCCAAGTTACACTGAGAATACAGTGTACAAGAGAGTAAAATGTATGGGTGCTCTGTCTCACCTGCTGAAATCGAAAAGTATCTCAAAATCGTTAAAGAAAAAGAATATATAAAACAATAATAAGGCCCGTAGTCATATACGGGTGCGACACTAAATTTAAAAGCTCGTCAATCACTAGAAATATTCGAAAGAAAGGTTCTAAGAAAAATATATGGCGGAAAGAAAGTGGGTGAAGTATGGGAAAGAAGAACAAATAATGAATTGCTCGAACTATATGATGAACCATTTTTAACCCATATAATGAAAGCACAAATGATGAATTGGCTGGGGCATATTATGTGTAATTCTGTGTAATTATGAAATCTCATTAGATTAGATAGATTAGATTAGACAGCAGACCAACGAAACAAGTTTTGACAAGAGGAATTGTTGGGAGAAGAAGAAGGGCCGATCCAGGATTAAGTGGATGGAAATGGAATACAGGACTGGCGAAGACAAGTGATAGATAGGAAGAAATCACGAACCAAGGCATGAGCCGCAGTGCTGACTTTATATATATGCTTAATATAATTAGTCCAATTTTGCTCAGTAACATGTTGAAATGCTTCATCTATTAACGAACGAACATGTTCTGAAATCCGAGTTGTTGATTGCTCCATATCACTTTATTCCATACCACCTCGCTATTTCTTCAATTTTGTATTTGTATTTATGTATAAGGTACTTAAAGAAAACATTGACAAATCCTTATCTTCTAGAATAATTTTACACATTTCAATTAAAATTGGCGGAATGATTTTTGAAAATAATTTGCGTGAGCAAAGTCTTAAAACCACGATCATATTTCATATTCCTAAGTTCGCCGTTGTTCTGTTCCTCTTCTTTCTTGATGTTAAAAATTGTTTTTTCACTAACACTACTTTTCACTTTTCACTTTAAAGCGAAACTCACAGTTGCACTCATTTCTCACTCGCATCTCTTAAATTTCACGTTAATCTTAAGAAATCGAACATAAAATAAAAGAAACATTTTATATTTCATATTTGGGATTATTATAAGTCATTTTGAAATTGTATGAGCAATCCATTTAATATATGTATCTATATTATCTATCTGCGTCACACACAGGTATCTTTTGGGCTGAACCAACTCTGTGATGGCTACAGGATACTTGGCAACGCTGTATCGCTTTGAAAATGATTGCGTATGCAACTCATACTGTATTATAAGTGTAACTTGGACTATAGTATTGCACTCTTCAAATCTTAACATTATAATTTTAATCCTAATAACATAAAAAATCGTTTTCAAATACCAAAAGATACCAACTATACCAACAATTCTCAATTAGCTAATAAATATTGCGAGTCAATTAAACAAACACCCGCGTTTCAGGAAAGCACCAACGCCTCATCGTGTGCCAATTTTACCCGCATCGTGAATTGCGAGTCGGAATGTTTCGCACATCCGCACACCTTCAGGATTTCGAATTGCGGAGCAGCGCATCACAAGCTCTGCTCGACCAAAACCAACACGTCACTGGGTTACCTTATGAGCAGCAACTGCGATATCACTTGCAAATACGAAGTGGAAGTCGACGGCGAGCTGTATCGGTCAGTGGCGTTCTGGGGGTTTTTGGTGCTGATGTCGGTCGGCACCGTCGGCTTCAACGTGGTCAACTCCATAAGCGACGCCATTTGTTTCGACGTCATAGGTGAGCGATAATAATTTGAGTTATATTTCTCGTATAGGTACGTTCCATAGTCTGTGACTAAATTGAATAATGCAATCTTTGAATACTTCTTCATTCATTTTCTTTATTTTATTGCTTATATTAAAGTAAAATGATTCATCAGAGCGAGAATTCCAAGAGATATTTTTTGACAATGTTGTACGTGTAAACGTACATAAATTTAAAATGAACTGCAAAAGTTTAAACGTCTCATATTCCTGAAAATTGAAGACCTCGGATACCTAACTTATATGTTTTTAAATGTAGACTTTGTCGTTAAATAATTAACACTCTGTATTATGTAATGCTCATTAAATGCGAAATTTATTTTCACTTCAAAAAATTAATATATCTACCGTTTATTTGAACTTTTAGTCACAAATCTGATGATAAACAACAACCTATATTATAACGCCGATTTTTGTATTTACTTATTTTTATTTGCAAAACTATACAATGTGTCTCACTTAAGAAGTGTACACCCTTGTAAAATATTTGGTTATGTTTCGATTTTATTTATTTTTTTGTTGGATGTATTAAAACTTTGCTTTGCTTATTGCTTCAAGCTCATGTAATAGGCCAACTGGGACTATTTAGCAACAGATAATGTAGAATGTTTGTTTAGGACTCAATTTTGATAATTCTTGTGTTGTTTTGTTGAATAGACCAAGACTAAAAGGCATTGAAATGGTTTTAGCATCCAGTATCCGCAAAAGCCAATTGACACAATTTTTTGAAGCGGAAAATCGTGAAATACATTCCTCCCGGAATAATTGTTATTTAAAAGGTAATTGTTTTTTTAAACATTGGTCTATTCAATTTTAGGCAGCCCTGAAAACGAATCTCTTATCATTTTCAATTTAAAGAAATCGCTAACAGTATTTCTCGATTTTCCGCTTCAAAAAACTGCTAACCGATGCTATATGAAAAAAACTGCTTCAGTTACTTTTAGTGAGATCTATCCAACAAAAAAAAATTATCATATGCAGTAGGGCTTAAGCGAGTCGCCCCGGATATTTAAGCACCCTATAAACAATGTTTTGTGTACAGTTCTTAAGTGCGACACTCTCTATAGTGACCAGTAACAGTAAATAACCATTGGTCACACTTTTCTAGAAAGAAATAAGCACCCAAATCCCAATTCGCTGATGGATGAATTCCCACATATTTGCAGAACATCAAACCAAAAATAATTATTTATATTACTCAATTCAATCTACTCTCAAATTTCTAGTGACGAATTAAATTATACCTAACTAATTTTGAAGAATATAGGAGTAGGTACCAAGAGAAACTCTGCGTATCTAAATTATAAAAGTACACATACGCATATCAACTCTTTTAATAATATTTGTAACGATGGGAAAGTAAATCAATTCTCTTAACTCATCTCTGTTCGTTTGTGAAATGAATGTTTTAAATTCTTATCTTAAAAATGTGTATCTGATCAGTGGTAATTAGAGGTAGCTTTTGGGATGCTGGTAAATTTTTTGAGCGTTAGTTTATTTCGTTTCTAGTATTAAGATTATTTTCCTTATACACTCACAAGTTATTACGTGCACCGTAAAAACATTTGACACTAACAAATGCATGGTTTGCAGTATCAAAATTTAAAAAACATCCTTTAAAAATAAAATTCCACGAAAGTAATCAAGCCCATTTTGCTCCAAAAATTGCGTCGTATCTACCATCAAAAAAATGCCAGCTAAAAATACATGCATTTTTAACAGCAATTTTTATCTGCTAAAAATTCATGGAGAAATACTTGAAGAAAATGCATCGAGTCTACCGGGCTTTATATTGTTTGTAAAAAGTATAATAGTTAACAATTAATGTCGTTAACAGTCATCGCGAATATATTTATGGAAGCATGGCCCAAAAATCATCGGTTACAAATTCTCTTGTTTACAGAGCCTTAAAGCTATTCCAGCTAGAATTAAAACACCTTACATCTGCTCTTCTCACTGATGATTAGAGATATTAAGCGTTCTATCACAAAATGTACTTCACCACAACTTTCCAAAGAAAATGAGTCCGAAAGCACTTACCGAAAGAGGTCCCCATACCTGCCACTGTTGTCCTGCCTTACATTCAAAACATCACTGACCACATATCAAAAGTTCTTAAGAAATATAACGTCAAAACCAGAATTTCCACTTGTAAATATTATTGCAGTAGTTTTCCTAAAGATTTGTATTATATAGAAGGCACCTCAGATGCGTACCTATTCACACCTGTCAAACTGTGGTTCTGTTTTGTAAATACAACTTTTTTGGTTATTAATTGGCAATTAATTTGATCTTTATCATGTGCAAAACTTATGTATCGATTAGGTGTATACTGTTTAAATCAATAACAAACAAAACTGGGCATAAAACTGGCCTTTGCGGGCCACCAGAAGTAACCCATTCATACATTGTATCACAGTTCCCAGTAGATACTGGTATTATTTTTGATGTGATTTTCAGGGGACGATCATGATTACGGCAAGCAAAGGGTATGGGGCACCATAGGATTCGGACTGACGGCCCTGGTAGGCGGTTACGTGGTCGACAAATTTTCTGACCAGAAGATATCATACATTCCCGCCGTCATAGTGATGGTCTTCTGTTCCTGCCTCGATCTGGTCTGCTGCGTAAAACTAAAAGTGAAATCCTTATCTATCGAAGACGACAACCGTTACTGATTTTTTTTTTCAGTTGCCCGTTATCGAACCGCCGAAGAACATCCTCAAAGACATCAAGCAACTGTTCGGCAACAAAAGAGTGGCGACTTTCATGTCGTACGCCGTCTTGGCAGGGATCATCGACGGATTCATCATCTACTTCTTGTTTTGGTACGTCGAAGATTTGGCGGCCGCCACTGACGTCACCAACATTAAACTTCTCGAAGGGTTGATCGTGGCCGCGGAGACCCTGGGGGGGGAAATCATATTTTTCTCGGTGTCAGGTAATAATATTAATTGTTTTGGTGCGGCAACATAAACATAACATAAACAACCTCAAATTTAACTTGCACCACGGACGTACCTCCTGCGTCGGTTTTTGCTTAGTCGAAATTGCTGACGTTTCGCCAATCATCCTGTTGGCTTCTTCAGAGCTTGACTCAAACAGTTATAGTCAAACAATTATAGTCAAATCTTGAAAACAACTAAAACTTTTATATTTCAACTGACGTGCTACTCTTCCGTCCAGAGACAAAATCGTCTACTTAAAACCACGAAATCTCTTTTTTTGCGACCAGGAAAAATCCTGGAACGCATCGGCCACGTGTCCTGCTTCAGCATGTGTTTCCTCGCCTACGCCCTTCGGCTCATGTTCATTTCGGCCGTCCCGCACCCCTGGTGGATACTGCCCATCGAGTTCGTCTTCCAAGGACCCACGTACGCGCTCACTTACACCGCGATCGTAGCGTACGCCAACGAACTGGCTCCGCCCGGGGCTTCGGCTACCATGCAGGGAATAGCAGCCGGCATGGACGACGGCGTGGGCTACGCAATAGGTAGTGTACTGGGTGGAGTCCTCTACAAATTCGCCGGAGGCAGGATCGCCTTCCAAGTTTTCGGCACGGTCGCTTTGGTTTGTGGCGTGTCCCATCTGGTGATCCACAAGACGCTGCTCAAAGACAACGACAGCCCTCCGCATTCCGTATCGAACGGCACCGTCTACAAGACGCCGGAAGATGCCGCTAGGATCGCCGTCGATCATTCTGACCGGTTCGAGAAATAGTCGAGCATAGTGATATGACGTTATATCCAAAGGCAGCATAATCGAAAGCCAGTCATCTCCCCACTCTTTTTATAATGGGGTGGGGATAGAACCGGTTCCAGTAGACAGGGCCGGTTATTTACTATATTGTGACAAAACTTTATAATCAAAGTCGCTTAATATAAAAAACGCACATTTTAAAATAGGTTAAATAATACAGGGTGTTTCGCGGATACTATGTTTCGAAATACAACACCCTAGCTATTTTTGCAGGAATTTCGCCAATCTTACGAATTTTATTTTTTTTTTTTTTTTTTGTATTTTTTAAATGAAACATGCTGTACGTTGTGGTATTCCTTTCGATATAAGGTCATTGCGTTGGTGTAGCCTATTATGGGGAGTAAAGAGGTGAGCCAAACTGCGAAACGATCAACAGCCCTTTCCCTGTACTCTTCGTTTATTTTTTTAAATTTTGGTAAGCAAAAGTATTTTTTTTATTTTATTCTTAGCGCGTATGGCTAAATTTGTTTTTCTAATCTTAAACCAATTGGAGCGTGCTTTTTCGTTTTTAAAGTTTTTCGTTTTTTAATTGAATGTTAATAACAATATCTACTCATAATGTAATCTCGAGGATTGCTTAAAAAACGATTATCTGGTAATTTGGATTCTGCTTTCTGTAAACTAATTTTTATGGAATATGTATTCCCCTATAATAACATTTGCCCTACATAAAGGGTATTGAAAGTCGCAAAAATGAACTATTTTGAAACCGCTCTAGCTATTTCATTGGAGTTTTGCACACTGCTTTCAAGACATATTTTTTCTTTAAATGTACCAGTGTCGTTTTTTTTTAAAAAATAATGCGACACCGCTGTTTCTTAAAATTGTTTTCGAAATCCTCGTTTATTTCGGAACAAATCTGATCTCTCGATATTTTTCCAAACATTGCACCATTTTGATGCCAAAATTATAATAGAAATATTAAGCATTAAAAACCTAAAGTTCCAATTTCGTACGGATGTCGCTTTTTAATTTTGTTAAACATATTTCTTTTGCTGCTTGAAAGCAGTCTACAAAATGTCGGTGGTTTGAAAATTATGATAAAGAAAAAAACTTGTTTTCCTTCCACCCTGTATTTCGGAAAGGACTCGGAATTCGGAATATGCCATATAGATTTGGTGCATTAACTTCATAACACCCTGTATAGCGCCCATCTGTTCCAAACTTAATTCATAGTTCGGCTGACCTTGTGCCCTTAGTTTAATTTGTTTTGGTTTCGCTCGTGTTCTTTAATTTCTGAATAAATGAACCGAAAAAAGATAAGATGTAAAAAGAGACTGATCCCAAATAAACCAGAGCTGATTATATTTATATACTGATATTGTTTTGTACATAATAAAAGCTATTTTTAAAGTTAAGATCGTTTTGTTTTGTCTCCACCTATTCGAGAGGCTGTCGTGGGATTTCGAAACGCGTCCGGGTATCGAAAATAAACAGCGATTCGCGTGGCAGATCATCATTAACCCGAAAATCATCATAAATTATTTTCAATGAGTTTTCCGTGAGCTGGCGGCCGGCTGTTTGTAATTTAACGCCCAAACGTTGTATTAAACGTTGGATAAAGTTGTGTAAAGATCGCGGAGTCCCGGTGTTTATGGATCAGTGGCGTAGAACGTTTCAAAGTTAAATGAACCGATGCATATCCAAGGAAAAGAGAAGGTTTAAATGAAAATTTGAAATTCTTTCCAAATTGGTTAGCCTGATAAACGACTTTACTATCATCGGCGTTCATTTACAACGTTTTTGTTCAAATTAATCAATTAATCATTAGTATCTTATACAAGAGAAATCGCGAGAAAGATAAACTTTAAATGGTTAAAACAATAGGGAAACAACAATATTGTGACGAAACCCTGGTAAGCCTCTCGGGAAGACAACTGGAATATTCAACCCCTATCGCGGGTTCTATAAAAGCGAAGCATCACTCCCTGGAAAGTCTGTTGAGCGCGCAAATATAAATACTCAGCTGTTAGAAATAGACGTCATAAATTATTGGCAGTGTGTTTATGAGTACATGAGGATACCATGACCAAAAATGTTGCGTTTGTACAACCGACCCCATCATTAACTTTGCCTACTGAACTCCGCCTCTAATCGTTGTCGATAAATATTTTCTTCTTTTATTACTCGTTTTTCACAGTTGGAGCTTTGTACTAATATTTTAGCTACCTCTGGCCGAAATACGTTTATGGTCCAACACTAAGTTTTCGTGTAGTGTCATTTCTTCTTGTATGCGCTCTCAGCTCAGGCCCTAATTATCTCAATCGGGTTAAATATCCAGTGATATGAGGGTAATCCCAAGATTTCACGTCTATTGTCTTAAAAAAGACTTTTTTGTTTACAAATCGGAGAACTATGTAGAACACACAAAAATACAAGAAGAAGAATGTTGTTGCATCAGGGTTGTTCGGTGGTCTGTGGTGTTCTTATTCTATGGTCTAGAGAGGTTAGAATGTGGGACTCTCAGTCTGGCATCTCGCGCGCTTATGTCTGAACCTCATGACGCAGATTAAATAATGGACTTGTAGTGGAGTTCTCTTTCATTATAAAAAACCTCCAATACGACAAATGTTGGAAGGATCACATTCAAATACCTCCGTAATATATACGAACATATTGCAATTTACATTAAACTTTTAAGACCGATACATATCGTCTGCACCAATGCTTAATCAAATTTAAAACGGTCCATGTACATTTCAAATGAGAATTTCAAGTTAATGCAGAAGAAATATCAGTTGGGATAGGTTTTACCACGATCCTACCGTTAAAGTACTGTAAAATACTTCAAAGCAATAAATACACAATATTTTTGGTCGTACAATACCAATATATATTACCATAGTTACCCAAACGACCTTAAACGAAAATGCCATTGAACTATCATACCCTATATACTGAATTATTATTATTAGATAATAATAATAATAATAATAATAATAATAATAATAATAATAATAATAATAATAATAATAACATAATAATAATAATAATAATAATTTTTTACACACAAAAAGTGCAAAATATATTTACTAGTTGATTTTAATCCTAGCTTATCGATCCTATCAGGTTTGCTATGATGGTCTCTTCTTATAATTGTGTTTTATAAAAGGAATTTTTTAAAAATACAAAAAAAAAATTCTAACTCACCATGCAGAAACGTATTGTCAGGTGTCAATTGAAGTTTCTGGACGAAAAATTTAACACAACAAATGTTGAAGTATTAAATCGAATGGGCAGATTTCTTGATTAAAATTAGTTGGACTGATGAGTCCAAATTTACTAAACACAATCAATATCTTTGGTTGGGCAACAGAAAATGTAGAACTCATTTAACGTAAACGTTCTTTGTTGAATAATAAACAATCGACTTCGATATCATATCTATCAAGGAAATCTTAATTTACAAGAATATCGTTACATTTTGCGTACTGTGGAACTAGATTTTTTTAGATCTTAGCTGTTAGAGATTATTGAGACCAGCTCGACGGAGGCCCACCTCACATTATGGGATTGGCCCTCAAGATATAGTAACACGTATAATCATTTTGTAGATTATTTGGTAGCGTAGTCATTGGAATTGAAAAACATGTGGGTGTGCAAAAGTGCGCTCTTTCAGCATCCCTTGTATAAAATATTCTCAATATTACATGCACAGTGTTTAAGTAGATCCATTAGCTATCACTTGTGAAAGTTTTAATCGAATATGAAGCGGGTTTTTTTAATTCAATTTTTTTTTTGCTAAGTATAGAAACAATGTAATTTTTATGTCGAATTCGAAAATATGATATAAAAAAACCATATGTTCTATTTAAAGTTTCAATGTTGTCACTGATTTCTGGTAGAAGCGCAACATTGCAAAAGTGAAAATACAAACAAGTGACATGACCAAAGTTCTTAATAAATTATTACTTTGTACTAATTTTTTTATGTGCATGTTTGAAGAATTGCTTACCAAAAATGATTGAAAACATACTTCTATCTCGCTTGTTACTTTCGAACATCGATGAAATCGAATTTTTCTAAAGTATCTGCGCTCGTATAAAAATTTTATATCTCGGTAACGGTAGGTCCTATGGGATCGCCGTTGGTACAGAAATAATCACCGTCGAAAAAAAATTTTTTTTTATCCGTTCTCCGTTCTCGCCTTTTCTTCTTTTTTAACCCTCCACGAGACACAAAAGCTTATAAGAAATGGCCCTGATCCGACGTCGGTATCCATCTTTTTTTCGCGATTTTCGACTGTTTTTGAAACAGGATAAGTGTCCGAAATTTGAAGCAATCGACTTTTGACATATATGCAGCTTTGCCCCGTGACGGAACCTGTTGAAAAAGGGGGGGGCTCGGGAGTTGGGAAGTATTCTAAAAAAATTAAAAATCGCACGTGCAAGGGTCTACAAAAAACATCATTTTTCAAAAACTATTTACGAGACCAAAAAAATTCTTGGACCAGAAGAAGCAGAAAATACGGCTCTATAAACTTTTATTCTTGACAATTTTTCAGAAATATACAGGGTGCGCCGCAAATTCAAAAAAACTGAAAAATGGGTCCCCCATTATTGAAAATTGGCAATAATTTCAAATATGTGTTTTAGATGTAAGTTTCATTTACATGACCATATAGACAGCTTAAACTTTTGTATTTACGGATTTTAGGTATTGTACAGGCTGTTCGCGGTATTCCGTGCAATATTAAAAAACATAATAAGTACTCCAAATTTGCAGCTATCGGACTTCAGACTTGGGAGAGAAGTAGAAGTCTGGACCCGCATTTAGATTCTTTAAATTGGGAGCAATAAAATAACGCGAAGTAATTTTTTTAATTTTTGATTTTTTTTGTGGTTATTTTGGCATCCAGAAAAACATCTTTTCCTCCAAAGCCATTCATCCGATCCGCAATTTTTTCTATTATATACAATGCATTTTAGTTATGGGCAAAAATCTAAAAGACAATGAAAATTGTTCTTTTATTCTTCTTCTCTATTATTAACCGTAAATCAAAATTCGTACAAACAATAGCTAATCCGTTCAAACAGTGTTTTAGGTCGTATCAAGGGCTACAATTTTTGTATTTACGGTTTTCGCCTATCCCATACGCTGTTCGAGATATTTAAAAAAATCCAAATGAAAATCGCCATTTCTCGCCCTCAATCTAGACGCGATGACGTCATTTATTATTACCACGTATTGCATGGTTTCAGGAAACAAGTAGTTTTTTGAAAACTCTTTACTCCATTGGACAAATTCGGATACCAGGAAACTAAGGAGATCCAAGGCTATAACCTCTATTTCGAACATTGTTGGAATTATATACAGGGTACGTCGTTTGTGGGCAAAAAATTTTAATAGATCCTGGAGATTTCGGGTTTTTGTGGGTGAATTATTGGCGACACATGAAAAACTTTTAAAGATGTGATAATTTTATATGAACAGTATCGTAAACTGTGTCGAAAAAATATAATTTTAAATTGCAATTACCAGTACAAATTTTAATATTTACCGAAGTGTGGCGTAACTTTGAAGTTCGACGAGATGTGAAGGACACTTGATTCACAATCAAATTACGTAGATTTTGTGAAAGTTCCATAGTGGTCCGCAGGAGCACGATAGAATAATAATGCGATTTTCGAAAGCAATCTTGTTAGTGTAGGTAGATAAATTCCTTGGACGGACGGTTAATGGTTACGGTAAGGGCCTCCTCGGCAGGTTGGTCTATAAGAGGCTGCGGTTTTGGAGTAATAAACAGTAGGCAAAGTTAATCACGGCGTCGGTTGTAAAAGCACTATATTTCTGGTGGAAGTATACTCCATGCGAGGTTTCGTTTCACAACCACTTAGTGGTGGGGGTGCTTATTTAAACCTCTTTATAACCCCCAAAATCCTTTCAACTCAATCCGTTGATCCCCGATCTATATTTAATAATCCGTACACGAACACCGAACAGAAAACTTCAAAAGGAATCGCCGATACGTTACACCAGTGGCGGTTCCTCCATAAGTGCACATGTGCACGTGCACCCCCAAATTTAATGCCCGCTCGGAAAAAAAATTATTTATGTAATTATATCCTACAATTCTCTTAATCCTATTTATAAAAAAAAACGATTCATCAAAATTCATAAAATTGAAATTAATACATAAAAAACTAGGAATTTCTTATCGGCCGTCACCGCGACCGCCGCGCCGGTATAAATCATTGTATAAACAAAACTCCAAACCCCCTTTGCCAGCAGCCGATTCCGCCGATCGTAAAATGCTTCGTTCACTGCTCATGGAACTAATAGATCTGATTGGTCAATCATCCGCCGCCCGCACTCTTTGTTTC